AGAGGCTGCACTGACAGTAGTTGCTGTCTTTGTTCCTTGGTTAGAGGTTGCTCTGACAGTAGTTGCTGTCTTTGTTCTTTGGTTAGAGGCTGCACTGAGAGTAGTTGCTGTCTTTGTTCCTTGGTTAGAGGCTGCACTGACAGTAGTTGCTGTCTTTGTTCCTTGGTTAGCGGCTGCACTGAGAGTAGGTGCTGTCTTTGTTCCTTGGTTAGAGGTTGCTCTGACAGTAGTTGCTGTCTTTGTTCCTTGGTTAGCGGCTGCACTGAGAGTAGTTGCTGTCTTTGTTCCTTGGTTAGAGGTTGCTCTGACAGTAGTTGCTGTCTTTGTTCCTTGGTTAGAGGTTGCTCTGACAGTAGTTGCTGTCTTTGTTCCTTGGTTAGCGGCTGCACTGAGAGTAGTTGCTGTCTTTGTTCCTTGGTAAGAGGTTGCACTGACAGTAGTTGCTGTCTTTGTTCCTTGGTTTGAGGCTGCACTGACAGTAGTTACTGTCTTTGTTCCTTGGTTAGAGGCTGCACTGACAGTAGTTGCTGTCTTTGTTCCTTGGTAAGAGGTTGCACTGACAGTAGTTGCTGTCTTTGTTCCTTGGTTAGCGGTTGCACTGACAGTAGTTGCTGTCTTTGTTCCTTGGTTAGCGGTTGCACTGACAGTAGTTGCTGTCTTTGTTCCTTGGCTAGAGGTTGCACTGACAGTAGTTGCTGTCTTTGTTCCTTGGTTAGCGGTTGCACTGACAGTAGTTGCTGTCTTTGTTCCTTGGTTAGCGGTTGCACTGACAGTAGTTGCTGTCTTTGTTCCTTGGCTAGAGGTTGCACTGACAGTAGTTGCTGTCTTTGTTCCTTGGTTAGAGGTTGCTCTGACAGTAGTTGCTGTCTTTGTTCCTTGGTTAGAGGTTGCTCTGACAGTAGTTGCTGTCTTTGTTCCTTGGTTAGAGGTTGCTCTGACAGTAGTTGCTGTCTTTGTTCCTTGGTTAGCGGCTGCACTGACAGTAGTTGCTGTCTTTGTTCCTTGGTTAGAGGCTGCACTGACAGTAGTTGCTGTCTTTGTTCCTTGGTTAGCGGCTGCACTGACAGTAGTTGCTGTCTTTGTTCTTTGGTTAGAGGCTGCACTGACAGTAGTTGCTGTCTTTGTTCCTTGGTTAGCGGCTGCACTGACAGTAGTTGCTGTCTTTGTTCCTTGGTTAGAGGCTGCACTGACAGTAGTTGCTATTTTGTTTCTCTGATACGAAACACTTACAATTATTCTAATAGAGACACAGTTGGAAGTCAAAAGCAGCAGTTTCCCTACTGAGATTTATGCCAAGATTCAGTGCTTGCACTCCAATTATACTGTGTGAACAGAGCAGTTTCACCATCACTTTATGTGAATGCTGTTTATGAATCTGCAACCCGTTATACATATTTCTTAATATAACACTTTATTTTTGCAGGAAATTGACATTTTTATTCATTTAAAGGGGCAGTGACTGCAGCATTTTATTCAATCCTCCTCAAATGTATCTCATCTCCCTTAGTTATCTATCACTAGACGCTGCTCCTGTGGGGTATAATTAAAGTTCAGAATTAGTGGCAAATCATAAAATATCTGAAAACAGCTTTTTTGTTTAAAAAAATGCATCCTGCATAAACTGTTTTTTTTTAGTTAATGCAGATTCAAAGTAACTTACTTAAACTTAGAAACATAGAATGTGACGGCAGATAACCATTCGGCCCATCTAGTCTGCCCAATTTTCTAAATACTTTCATTAGTCCCTGGTCTTATCTTATAGTTAGGATAGCCTTATGCCTATCCCACGCATGCTAAAACTCCTTTACTGTGTTAACCTCTACCACTTCAGCTGGAAGGCTATTCCATGCATCCACTACCCTCTCAGTAAAGTAATACTTCCTGATATTATTTTTAAACCTTTGTCCTCTAATTTAAGACTATGTCCTCTTGTTGTGGTAGTTTTTCTTCTTTTAAATATAGTCTCCTCCTTTACTGTGTTGATTCCTTTTATGTATTTAAATGTTTCTATCATATCCCCCCTGTCTCGTCTTTCCTCCAAGCTATACATGTTAAGATCCTTTAACCTTTCCTGGTAATTTTCATCCCGCAATCCATGAACCAGTTTACTTAGCCCTTCTGTGAACCCTCTCTAAGGTATCAATATCCTTCTGAAGATACAGTCTCCAGTACTGTGTACAATTCTCCAAGTGAGGTCTCACCAGTGTTCTGTACAATGGCATGAGCACTTTCCTCTTTCTACTGCTAATACCTCTCCCTATACAACCAAGCATTCTGCTAGCAATTCCTGCTGCTCTATTACATTGTCTGCCTAACTTGCTGTGATTATGCAGCACTGTTTGTGCTTTTTAATTTGCAAATTTGCAAAATACCCATGATTCCACAGTACAGAGCTAGCACTAAGAATGTGTTAAATATCAAGACACTTAAGGTACATCATAACTATCTTTACTCGTTGAATATGTCCATATTTTTGGCATATTATACAAAGTGCAGAACAATCACATCATTTGACAAACTTTGAACTGGAAGAGGCTATTGCAGGGCTTTTTGCCCATTAACAGAATGTTCTTGTAGTGCTCTGCATGTGCGCTGCATGGCTGATAAAACACCCCTTTTACATACTCTCTGCCAACCACATATTATCAGTTACACATTATGCGTCATTGTACACCTTGTTTTATTATACTCACAGTTCCCATCATGCTTTCAGCTTGTATTTTGCCCTGCTTTTACAGATTGGTAGTTCAATACAAATTACTAGCTGGTGAATCAATCTTTTGCTATGTAATAGAAGAATACAAGCCAAAGTTAAAGGGTCACTCTCAGCATGATCATGACTGATTGCAAAGTAGATGGTTTAGAGCACGGGTCCTCAAACTCCGGCCCCCCAGATGTTGCTGAACTACAACTCCCATGATTCTTTGAATTACATAGCCAGAGAATCATGGGAGTTGTAGTTCAGCAACATCTGGAGGGCCGGAGTTTGAGGACCCATGGTTTAGAGAATAATCTGTGAATCATTCTCAGCTTTGTATAAGTCTCTGCAACTCTAAGCCAACCCCTCAGAGCTGTTAGTCAGGCAGCTGGAATTCTAAGCTCGAGCATACTTGTAACCATAGGTGTGCGCACGGGGTGTGCCGGGTGTGCCTGGGCACACCCTAATCCCCGCGGCACGCCTATGTATATTGAGACCAGCAGGGGAGATCTCAGGATCTCCCCTGTCGGCTCATGCAGAGCCGGCGCTATCTGAGCGCCGGCTCTGCTCTCAGCCTCCCTCCCCACCGACCCACATGCAGGGAGGGAGGCAGGAGAGGACCCGGCGGAGCTATTGCCGGCAGCTCCGCCGGGTTCCTCTCGCGAGATATGAGCGTTGCCTCGGCAACACTCAAATCTCGCGAGAGTGAACTCTAGCCCCACAGGGGCTAGAGTTCACTCTCCACTGGACCACCAGGGAAAGCAGCAGCACTATCCCCCCTCCCTACAAAAGGTAAGAAGGGAGGGGGGATAGCAAGTAATGTACCCCCACCTCCACCCCCACAATCACCCACCCACATACAGCACACACACAGCACACACAGACATACAACACCCACACATACAGCACACACACAGCACACACAGACATACAACACCCACACATACAGCACACACAGACATACAACACCCACACATACAGCACACACACAGCACACACAGACATACACAGCACCCACACACATACAGCACCCACAGACATTCAGCACCCAGACAGCACCCACACACATTCAGCACCCACAGACATTCAGCACCCACAGACATACACAGCACCCACAGACATACACAGCACCCACATACATTCAGCACCCACAGACATACAGCGCCCACACACATACAGCACCCAGACAGCACCCACACACATACAGCACCCACAGACATACACAGCACCCACACACATTCAGCACCCACAGACATACAGCACCCACACACATACAGCACCCTCACCAACAGCAGCATACACAGCACACACACACACACCCTCACAAACACAAACAGCACACACACACACATAACAGCACCCTCACACACACAACACACACAGCACACACACACACACACACACAAACAGCACCCTCACACACAGTACATTAACAGCATCCTCACAAGCACGCACACACAAACACCCTCACCCACATAGCACACTACCAGCACCGTCACACACACATCACACTAACAGCACCCTCACACAGCACACACACACACACAGCAGTGTGTGTATATATGTGTATGTATATATATATATATATATACATACATACATATATATATATATGCGGCGTGTGCTTGTGCTTTAGGGTGCACACACTAATGCAATAGGCTGCGCACGCCTATGCTTGTAACCTCTTGTTCAACTTGTGTGCACTCTCTCCTCTATGTGCCAACCACAGATTTTCCAACCACCACGGCACATAGCCTGGTTCAACAGTGAAAAAGACTTTACTTAAAAATATAACAGCTGTGAAACAGTTTTTGGGGATATTGCTATAAACATTTGTGTGAGCGGAGCTTATGTGGTAAGAATAGATCCCATAAACCAATATGAGGTGCTATTGATTGGAGCATATCTTCCTGGTGAGGGTGGGTCTGTCTGTCGCTGCAGGCAGGCCACTATAGAGTTCTTTTAAAGGGACACTATAGGAAGCACCAGAACTACTGCAAGTTAATATAGTGGTTATCAGGCATATAGTGGCAACTGCGGGTAGAGCAGTGTAAGCAGGTAATGCTTACAATGCTGCCTAAAGTCACCTCTAGTGGCTGTCACTTGGACATCCACTAGAGGGGGTTCCTGGAATCGCGGAGCTGATGTTCAGTATCTTCACGCTCTGAATGGAGACGATGAATAATGACTTAATGCATCTCTATGATGAGATGCTGATTGGTGATAAGGGGAAGCATTGGATTGGCTGAGATCATCAGTACTGATGATCTCAGCCAGCAGTGGCAGGACAAACACACGGAGACCAGTGCACAGGAGGGAAATAAGGTTAGTAAATCTGCTTTTTTTTCTAACTTCTGGGGGCCCAATAATCCAAATTAGTATAATACTCTAGTGTTAGGTATACATGTTTGTCTTCTTAACGCTATACCAGTACTCCTTAAAAGGTATGTGTGTTTTTATAATTATTTATTTATGAATTTATCAATGTTTGGAATATATACAAAATATATTTACCTTTAAGTAAACACAATACTTTTTCTTTAACATATTAGTTTAAGATTACATGATATTAACTTTGAGATCTTTATAAAAGAGATTTATTTGTCAAGCAATTAAATTGTATTCCATAAATAGATACATAGCATTTTAAAATGTAAATAAGTCTGATTAAATATGCATATAGCTCCATATTTATGTATGCTAATAACTTTATGAGAATCAAGGAATTCAATGTAAAAACATGTTTGTGACATAAAGCGCATACAGTACATTCAAATCCAATGACAATACAATGTGTTAGTCTTTTTTTTTTTTTTTTTTAAAGAAAGACATTTCATGTGACCAATTAGCACTAAATCATTGCCTGTAATTGTTCATCACTGCTCTGCCACTTAGAGTCTCTCTTCGCTACATAACTTACGCAAAGTTGTCTTCAAAACCTCACTTGCTCCTCATCATTAGACTGACTTGCTATAGCTCTGTAAAGCCCAGTACTGACCTTGAGAGGTAATTGAGTGTTGGTGACTATTCTGTGCTCATTTGTCATATTAAGATCCAGTCAGAGTGTCATTGGTACTAATTGCTTCACAGTAATCACCCGCGGGCAGATAGCTCATGAATGTAAAAACTTATGAAACATAAAGTATTTTGCGTACATTAATAAGTAGTGGAAAGCATTTATACAACAAAAATCAGCATGCGGACTCTGCCAAACTGTCATGTTTTTATATAATCCCTTCTTCGCTCAACATGTGCCGAGCGTAAATCACTTTTGCAGAAATTCTCTTTTTAACCAAAATTAAAATAACCCAGTTAGCTCGGTTAATTTAGGATATGAAGGGGGCGAACATTTGCCTAATTAAGAGTCTGCTGAGTGTCATTGAGCCGTGTAGAGTACATCTACTTCATTTGTGTATGACATTGCAGACTAGATTGTGTTAGCCGGAGACAAAACGACCCATTTCCCCCTCGCCGTCTATCTATTGAATCCCGATTCTCAGCATTTACCAGGCTCGTGGTATCGGGTCTTAGTGATATTCATTGATTATCCATCAACATCTCGAACTTTAAATATTAAATAGAAAGAAATGTTACATGAAAACCAAAAAAAAGTTATTAAATATCCTAAAGGCATTAACTATCAAATAAACATTAAAAAATGTTATCCCTCAATGTACAAATACAGAATGATAAAAAGTATTGGAGTACAAAACAAAAACAGCATGACTTTGTATAATCATACGCTATATTAGTTATCACACATAGCTGATATGACGTAAAAAAAAATAATGGAATTTATTTAAATAGGCTCAAGAATTCTACCGTTAAAAATAAATAGAGGCCGGCAATGAGGATCTGACCATGACCATATTACATCCCATGACGTCTCATGCCATAGCAATATCACATGGGATGCTACACACTTAGTATGAACAAGCATTGTCACAGTTATTGTTCTATCACTCGGCTGTTAGTTAAATGTGTATTCCATCTGCGACTGGCTCACAGTTTATTGGCTACACTCACCTGATATGTAACTGAAAGAAAAGAAATATAAATAAAGATTGTCCAAAAAAATAAATAAATAGAGCATTTATTGAGCAGTCTTTTAGTTGGCTTAGATTATTGGAATCTCTATGTTAAACAACATGTCTCTTTTACTTTAGTCGTTCTCTGCCTCTAATTCCTTTTATTGGGATTTTCATTATGTCTTTTAATCATGGACAAATGATAGAAGAAATTTCTACCAATTTCAGGCTATTTTTGGTATACATTTCGCAATTCACTTTGTGAAATCATTTGGATCACAAAGTTGTGCATTGCAAAATTGTGTTCTCCTTTGCTCTCTAGAATTCTATGAGTTAAAGGGACAATACAGTAACCCAAACAACTTTAACTTAATGAAGCAGTTTTGGTGTGTAGATCATGCCTCTGTAGTCTCGCTGTTCAGTTCTCTGCCATTTAGGAGTTAAATCACTTTGTTTATAGAGCCCTAGTTACACTCCCTTGAATGGGACTTACACAGCCTTCCTAAACACATCCTGTAAAGAGAGCTCTAATGTTTAAACTCCCTTTATTGTACATTCAGTTTAATTTAGAATTTCTTATCTTCTGCTCTGTTAACAGCATTCTAGAGCCTACATGAGTCTCCTTTGTGTGATTAAAGTTTGATAAAGTAATAAAGTAAGTTATAAAGTAACTTAACATCTGATCCAATAAAAATTAAACCATTTTGTTCATGCAGTCTGTGTGAATCACAGCCAGGGGATGTGTGGCTAGGAGTGCATAAACCAAAGCAAGTCATTTAACTCCTAAATGGCAGAGAATTGCATAGTGAGACTGCAGGGACACCGAAACTGTTTTATTAAGCCAAAGTTAGTTTGGTGCCTATAGTATCCCTTTAATTAGCTAATCTATGGAATTCTTAAGATCTGATTGGCTCCTGTAACACATGGCTTTAAACCAGTGTTTAAAAATGGTGATGCAATTTCAAGATGGAGATGGTCAGTTCCGCACTAAAAATAAACAATGGTGAATATTTAGTAGAACTTGGTTAGTTATAAACCATGATGTTTTAAACTGATTTATGTAAAGAAAATATTAGGTGACAAAGTCACTTAAAATATATTTTAACCTCCGGTGTTATTCAAATCTAATTATTTCTGGGAGTTGCAAATTGTCAAAATAATGACTGGGGTGATATGAGCTGTTTGCTTCAAGAAATGAGAATCTTAGAAAAGGTTCATATTTGGAAAAAAAAAAATTGGATCAAGTTTTCGAACCAGTTTGTTGCGCAGCTCATTATAATGTATTAACCATTGGGAGTTTCAGGGGTTAAAACCCTCAGGCTTGCCACAATGGGTCAGGAAGACATAGTCATTATTGTCAAAAACTTGTACCTGTCGTGCCGTGTCAAGTAGCAGGAGACAGTTTGTAAGCCCTGAGGACACTGCCAAACAAAGCCAGTATGAATAATTAGAGACAGAGCCGAAATGACAAATTTGTGATAGAAGCCAATCGCCTAACTTCTCCTACAGCATCCTGTGATCTCATGTCTTAATGCTGCTCATATATCTTTCAGGTCCTGTCTACCGGTTGAAGCATTTATTCTCCAATATATAAGGCCCCCATGGCTCTGAACATATTCTCATGCAGTTAGATACATGGAAATAAAGCTGTTATAATGTATCTTCTGCTAAAAGTCCACGGAGGGAAAACTGCACTAAGGGATCAGTTTAATGTCTGGTGCAAGACTGCAACCTTGTGGTCGGAACAGCAAACTGTCCCACGGCTTGGAATGCACTGATGTCCACATTCAGTTTTAAGAACATAGGGAGTTTATAAATATTGACATCAACTGCACCAGACATTAAAAAAGGCTCAGATCCCTGTTTGCTCCACAAAACTGCTATTACATAAGAATAAGTAGACTAATGTCCCTGGTTCCATTACTACACTACTGGCGATGGCCCATGGCATCTCGAGGATTCATACTTGGGGGGGGGCACATAAGGGGCCAAAAGTAGGGGGGCAGTTATTAAACGTGTATATACATGTGTGTGTGTGTGTGTGTGTGTGTGAGTGTGTGTATGTATATATATATATATATAGATAGATAGATATGTCTTTATATATACACACACATACATACACGAAGCTCTGCAAATTCCAGGTCGCCATGGCAACTAAACATTTTGCCCTGGCGTCTGGCATTTGTCAGCCCTTTGCTAAGTCGCGCAGGAAACATTAAAGCCGGCCGCCGCGGAGAGCATGGTGGCAGCGCCTGAGGGAGCAGTAACCTTCCTGCAGTTCCTCTTCGCTCCCTTGCGCGCTGTTTAGTGATATGATGTCACTCCAGCCCCAACATCACTTCAGAGAGCGCGCAGGGGAGCAGAGAGAAAATGCAGGAAGATTAGGAGGAGACACACTGGACGTCAGGAAAAGATCCACTCAGATCTCCCAAAGGTAGGGAGGCTGGGTGGATTTAAAATAAAATAAAAATAGCAATTTGTGAGTCTTAGAGTGTGTGTTTTTGGTTCAGTCAGTGTGTGTCTCAGTCAGAGAGTGTGTGTCTGTCACTGTATGTCTGTCAGAATGTGTGTATGTCTGTCAATATGTGTCTCAGTCAGAGATTGGGGTGGAGCTTGTGTATGGGGAAGCTGCTGCACAGTTGCAGAACTAACGTAGAGAGGCCCTGGTGCATTGTAACGGATCACCTGGCACCCCAACTGGGTACCTCCGTTGAAGGATGCTCGTAGCGTTTCCTGAGGACTCCAAGCACTGCAGCAAACACCATAACCACCGTAGACTCCTCCAGAGAGCAAAACAGGAATGAGCTCCTAAAGAGCTTAGGAGTGATTTAGCAAGGGAGTATGACAAGCATAGCAATCCCTTGTAGCAGATTCCCCCAATAAGAGGTTCAGTCCTTGGTCTCCATCTATACTGTTCTCCATCTATACTGCCTCCCTTGGTAAACTCATTAGCTCCTTTGGCTTCCAATATCATTTCTATGCAGATGACACGCAAATCTACCTGTCCTCTCCTGATCTCTCCCCGTCCCTCTTGACTAGTGTCTCTGACTGCCTCTCTGCTGTTTCTAACTGGATGGCTGCCCACTTCCTTAAACTAAACTTGACCAAAACTGAAATTCTGGTCTTTCCTCCCTCAAGTGTTGTTACTCCTGTGTCTGTCTCCCTCCAAGTCAACGGTGCTACCATCAGTTCCACCACACAGGCTCGCTCGTGTTCTCTTTGACTCCGACCTCTCCTTCAAGCCTCATGTTCAATCTATCGCCAAATCCTGTCATTTCCATCTCAAAAACATTTCGCGCATCCGCCCCTACTTAACGCCAGATGCGACTAAGGTGTTGGTCCATTCCACTGTCTTTTCTCACCTTGACTACTGTAATCCGCTTCTCAGTGGTCTTACATGCTCCCAACTTGCGCCTTTACAGTCCATAATGAATGCGGCGACGAGGCTCATCACCCTGTCCGCCCGCACCTCCCATGCCTCACCCTTCTGTCAGTCCCTACATTGGCTTCCTATAAAATATAGAGCTCAATTTAAAATTCTGGTTCTTGCTTTCAAATCTCTACCTAATGCTGCTCCCACCTATCTATCCTCCCTTATACACAAGTACAGGGCCGGACTGGGGATACAAAGCAGCCCTGGAAAAAAAAAATTTGTGCCAGCCCCATAAGTCACTGCGCCATATATTGTCGCGTGTAATATGTAAGGTTATGTCTTGCCAAGACAGATGATTGAGTAATATATATATATATATATATATATATATATATATTGCTTTTTCTAATATAAAATATTGGTCCTTTCAGGGTAAAACGTTTAATTATACAGTAAGCATACGCACATGCAGACACTGGCAATTTCACTGACATTTCAGTGACACACACAAGCTAATTGATACACAGCCTCATAGACAAACAATCTTACTGATATACATCAGCTCATTGACATAAAAACACAAGCTCACTCACTAGCAGGCACACGCATGCAAGCAAGCTCACTCACTAGCAGACGCACACACACAGCTTAATGTGGTGGTACTGGTGTCTATAGCATGTCCCTACAGGCTTTTCAACGTAAACACTGACTTTTCAGACAAAAGGCAGTGTTTACATTGCTTCAAAGTGGCACTGCTAGTGACAGTCACTCAGACGGTCACTAGAGGTGCTTCCTGTGTTAGTGCACCTACATTCAGGGCCTCCACACTCTGTAGGTGCTGAACGTTCCCCATAGAGATACATTGATTCAATGCATCTCTATGAGGAGATGCTAATTGGAGTGGCGTTTTGCAGCCAATCCTATGACAAAGCATTGGATTGGCTGAGATCATCAAGCTTGATGATCTCAGCTAGAGAGGCAGGGCCAGTCGAGGGAGACCAGCATGCTGCGTGGGGAAAAAAAAAAGGTGAGCAAAAACACTATTTTTAAACACACATTTACACCATGACAGACACAGAAACACACATATACCATGACAGATACACACCCCATGACAGACACACACCATGACGGACAGATAGACACACACACACCATGACGGACAGACACAGACACACACACCATGAATGACAGACAGACACACAAACACACACACCCCATGATGAACACACACACCCCATGACGGACAGACAGACACACACACACAAACACACACACACCATACAGACAGACAGACACCATGACACAGACAGACACACACACACACCATACAGACAGACAAACACACACCATACAGACAGACACGATGACACAGACAGACACACACACACACCATACAGACAGAAACACACACACACCATACAGACAGACAGACACCATGACACAGACAGACACACACACACACCATACAGACAGACAGACACCATGACACAGACAGACAGACACACACACACTATACAGACAGACAGACACCATGACACAGACAGACACACACCATACAGACAGACAGACACACACACACCATACAGACAGACATACACATTACTTATACCTGCCAGGGAGAGGTCTTCTGGGGGCCTTTTACCGCTGGGGAGGTCTTCTGGGGGCATCTGGGGGACATGTCCAAATTTCCCGGTGGGCCGTCGGCTCCTGGGGCCGGGCAGACACCTGGGTTTGCTGTCGGCCGCTGGGGAGGTCTTCTGGCGGCCGCTGGCAGACTTGTCCTGGCGGCCGCTGGGGGAGCTGCGCATGCTCTGCCCTCCCGCCATCGCGCGCTACTGAATGAGACCAGCACCGGAATATGATGTCATATTCCGGCGCCGGTCTCATTCAGCTGCGCGTTGGGGAGCAGAGCCAGCGCAGCTCGCGCAGCTCCCCCAGTGGCTGCCAGGACAAGTCTGCCAGCGGCTGCCAGAAGACCTCCCCAGCGGCCGACAGCAAACCCAGGTGTCTGCCCGGCCCCAGGAGCCGATGGCCCACCGGGAAATTTCCTGGTATCCCGGTGGGCCAGTCCGGCCCTGCACAAGTATGTCCCGTCTAGGCCCTTTACGATCTGCTGAAGACTTACGTCTATCTTCTGTCCGTACTCCCACCTCTGATGCTCCCCTTCAAGATTTCTTGAGGGCTGCACCGTTCCTGTGGAACTCGCATCCCTCCTCCGTTAGATGCTCACCCAGTCTCCACTCCTTCAAAAAATCGTTAAAAACCCACTTGTTCATAAAAGTGTATCAATTAAACTGTTAATAGCTCCTGACTGATTCTTCTTCTGCAACTGTCACTAGTCTAATACTATCATTACCTTTTTGTGTCATTTTACCCCACTCCCTCTAGCATGTAAGCTCATTGAGCAGGGCCCTCAACCCATCTGTTCCTGTGTGTCCAACTTGTCTGGTTACAACTACATGTCTGTTCGTCCACCCATTGTAAAGCGCTGCGGAATTTGACGGCGCTCTATAAATATCATAATAATAAATAATAAGAGACAGCACTCCAAATTGAGGGTGAAGTACTGGCATATACAGCCTCTTTTATTCACATTCTACAAACATAGTACTGCCCACAGGGTTTTGAAGCACAACCAATCAACACATTACAACACAGCTAACACTCCCATTCATTACATCAGACATCCTCCCCTCTGCCTGTGATACAATTATCTCAACACAATAGACTAACTTAATTATCACAGACAGGAACATACAGCACTATAAAACATATCACAGGGACCCCAAAACATGCAATATCCCCATATGGGTGAACCACATATCCAAAATTCACCCAGATCCGTTCAGTAGTTTGGAAGATACGGTTTAATGCAGATTCCGCAGAACATATACATGCTATATGAAAAATAATTACTGTTAAATGTGTCCCCTGTTCTGTAGTTTAAAACTACTGAATGATGTCTTTGTGCACCAAATACCGGCGAGAGGGCACCATGTAGAAAAGTCAAAACAGTGTCTGTGAGTTAAAATGGCCGCCATCCATTGTTCTCACCATGTGCCTTTGATACATGAAATGGTGGCCACCCAGTAACACCACAGTATGTCCCCAGATGGTTCTTAAAGGGCCAGCAGCAGCATAATAAAATACAATATGCCCAAATCAGTTCCTTAAAGGGCAATACATCCCAGGGCCATAGTCGCAGGGCAGGAGGCTGGCAAACAGGCCCCTCCAAAAACCAGTGGTCGAGGTCACTTTCGCCACATGCATAAACTGTTTTGGGCCCCTGAAGACACATGCCTATCGATTGCCCTAATTGCATTGTGAGTGTATGTGTATTGGGGTTGCATTGTGTGCTTATCAAGGAGCTGTAGTTATTATATGTATATACACAGTGGAACCTCGGAACTCAAACTTAATCCGTTCCAGAAGGCTGTTTGAGAACCGAGTTGTTCGAAAACCGATTCAAGATTTTCCATAAGAATTAATGTAAATTAGATTAATCCGTTCCAGACCCCCAAAAGTACAGCATTTTAACACACATTTTACAGTTTAATAATACCTTAAATGCAAAAAATCATACAGAAAACCAATAAACATAATTTAAATAAAATTTAAAAGTAACTTCACTTTACTGTTTGCTGATAGAATGGAGCTCTGTTCGTTTTGTTGAGTGCTAGGAGGCTGATGCGTCATACCAACGAGGTTCCACACTGGTACCATCGAGGTTATTGCTGTGTGATTTTGTTTGAATACCGAATTGTTTGAGTACTGGAGCGTTCCAGATCCGAGGTTCCACTGTATATAAGATTATGTGTGTAAGGGGGTGAAGCATGTATGTATGTATATATGTATGTGTGTGTGGGAGTGAAAGTATGTGGGGAAGAAGTGTGTATGTGGGTGAAGAGATGATGTGTGTGTGTGTATGCAAAGGTGTACTCTGTGTTGGTGGAAGGTGTACTGTATTAAGAGGGGTGTAAAGAGTGGGATAGGGAAGAGCTTTACCATTTTTACTTTAGTAAGTGCAGAGCTCCATCTCACTGTCTCTCCCCTGCGCTGCTCTCTGTGAAACAGGAGGAAGTCCTCCCAGCACAGTACCCCCTCTGGCCGCACGTGGAAAAAGGATGGAACAGCTGCAGCTTGTGAAGGGAGACACATTCTTCCCAACTTCAATTTCAATTGGAGGAAAAGCAAGGGAACTGGTGATGGCCTAATGATAGATTTACAGCTGTCATATAACTACACAACCGATGGTACACTGCAGGCCTTGAGTATAGCAAGGCATCAAGGGAGTTGTAGTTCTGATAATAGTAGGGTGATAGCGTCTTGATCCAAGGATAAACCTGACTGTCATTCTGGGGTCAAGAAAATTTTTTTTTTCCTAGTTTGTTGCAAAATTGAAAGTCTTGCCTTCTTTTGGATCAACAGCAAAAACCAGATGTGAGGAAGGCTGAACTTGATGGACACATGTCTCTTTTCAGCCTATGTAAAGCTGAGTATCCCAATCTTGTGTATCGTTGCTGTAGTAGGTCTTAAAGGGACAGTCTAAGTAACCACAATAACTTGATGTTAATAAAGTGAATTGGAAGCATAGATGCTGTCAATTAGAAATGGCACTATTTACTGTACATTCTTACTAGTGGCAGATAGTCACTATATATTCAAATCGATTACATTTTTCTATTTCTATTTGACAACTATCGTCAGCACGTAAAGTATGTTGATGTGGGATGCTGTGTGTGTTCAGTGCTTCTCTATGAGAGGCACTGGATTCAATGTTTCTTATAGAGAAGAATTAGATTGATGGATTGCAGTGATTGACATGCATTGTACTTTGTGTTCTCGAAGTTTCTCTATAAGAAGGATCTAACTGACAAAAAGTCACCAAGATTGATGACGTCACTCAAGTCGGATCAGGATCAGGAGAGGAGTCTGTTTCAGTGCCGGAATAAAGGCAATATTAATTGTTTTTCATTTATTTAATTTAAAAAAGGGTGTCCCAGAAATCTAAAGTTATAAAGAACACATTTTAGAGTGTACGATGATCCTACCAAAGGTACTTTGGGTTTTAACTCACTAGTGTTTCACACAGATATACAAAACCACGTATCTCTGCACCAAAAGATATCTAAACCTAATTTTCATCTAATTTAGAAATCGAAGTGCAAAAGTGGATATTCTGACCTCCGTTGGAAGTGGTCAGTGTTTGGTTAACCCTCCTAGGAAACAGTAGAAATGCATTCAGTCTATGCAGTTCTGTACAGATAGTTCTTACAGAAGTACAACACGGACAGCAATATTAATGGCTTTCATTACCTGGCCTTCACTTCCTCATCGCTTATTCTGTCTTCACTAATATTGTCAAAGGACTTCTCACCTGTTGCATTAATGTGCTTGTAGAGGCTTTTCTATTAGATGATATTTTGACAGTTACACCTAACGTTACACCTGCAGATTGGGTAGATCAGAAATCTCCTGCGGGTCTGCTGTCTTCAGGGTTTAATGTCCTGTGTCTGGCCTTCTGAGACATGGAACTGGTAGTCTTTATAACAGTATATTTATCTGGTGCATTTTATTTAATACTCTGCAATATCACTGCATGCCTGGAGTTCTCGTTGAAGGATTATTCAGAGCACCATGACCACTTCAGTGTTCCCCCCCCCTCCCATGTGACACCCAAATCCTCCTCTCAGTCCATACTTTGTGATGTCCTTCTCCCAGCAGTGACAGGGAGTGAGGATTGGGCTGCTGGGAGAACTTGCCCTTTGCGCCAGATTGAAGGTTAATATATTCCTTTATTTCATCATTTTTATTTATTTTAGGGGATACTATTTCAGCAAATGTTACTCTAACCAGAAACAGTGTTTTGGAGTAACCCTTACATTAAAGTAAGCCTTTAAAGCAAGATCAATATTAATTTGTGCCTTATTGCGTCCTGCAGCATGAGAATTGCAAGGATATAAATAACTGGAAGAATACATTATTGCAGAGTTGTAATAGTTTGTAAAGACACATTAAAGTCAGTATTATTGCTGTTATGCACTCATACACAACAACAATATGGAGTTCCAACAAAAGAGGGACATTAGATAGAAAAGTGTGGTAGGTATGATGTACCCATACCTAAATACCATCTAATTATCCAAAGGGTAACAATGCACCATGTAGGATGATGAATATTGTTTGCAAATTGACATATTATTTATAAATTCCCAGCTTGCACTCTGTGCAAACACCTACCTCTTCTTGCCAGCTGTATGCGTGTATACAGCTACAAAAATGGCAAATTAAAATAATCCCATTCCCATGCATTGTGATTTGATTATTTGAGCAAGGAAGATATTGGGTTTCCTCCCTTTACACCAATTTGCAGTGAGTTGAAAGGAGAATTGCAACATTTGGTCGGATTTGGAAAACAAAATCGTAAAATCGTCACAGCTTAAATTTTTTTGTCTAAATTTAGCAATTTAGTTTTTTTTAACATCATTACAGTTGAATAATTAGTCAATAACTGCAAATGTTTTTTTGTTTTCATTCCAATTCCATCACTAAATGTTTTGTTAGAATATAGTTAAAGAGAAATTATAGATTTAAATCACAATTTATCTCTAAAAAGTGAGGCTTGATTTTGCTAAAGCTGTAATTATATGCATGTATTTTTCATATCCCTTCAGTAATTTGAGGTTAATATGAGAATTATTCAATACTGCGGGAATTAATAGCTATTATATTAAACACTATACATGTTCCCTTTGTTACGACTGAAATAATTTACTGTAAAAAGCACAGACAGACTATTACAGTTAAATTAATTCACATTTCCCATGATTTATATCTCGTTCCAAGCAGGCACCCAACACAAAATACTTATATGAGTCTTTAACGAAGCGATCAGGAATAAAATACTCTTGTTATTTTTACCAAACCCTGAATTGAGGGGAAATGAAAACCTAACTGAAAAATGTAGGCAACATTAGTTGGGCAATTTTAAACCGATCAGCTATTGTCTAAATTTTGCAATTTGTTTTTCACTTCACTGTATTTAGTGAATAAACCACAAACTGTGAATTGCCAAAAACTTTTAGGATAAAATAATAAAACTGTTTCCAGATCAGCTAACTTGACGTGGAATTGGAATTTTGAATTCTCTGGTGAATTTTGACAAAGCAGAATATAGTAAATAACCCAGACAATATTTGAAAACATGAAGAATTGTTAGAGTGCTGAATTTCGAAATGCTGAACCGAACCAAACTGCCGAAGTGACGACATTCGGAACTGCCGAAGTGCTTCGGATTTCTGAAAAGTGGCAAAACAGGAGAGAGTTGGGGCTAGGGGTTGGGGTAGGGTTAGGGTGAGGTAAGTGGTTGGGGTAGAGGTAAGTTTAGGGGTAGGGTTAAGGGTTGGGGCAGGGTTAGTTGTTGGGGTAGGGTTAGTTGTTGGAGTAGGGTTAGGGTAGGGGTAGGGTAACCTTATTACTAACCCTAACTGTAAACCAACCCTACCCCTAACCCTAATCCTACCCCTAACCTAATTCTACCCTTAACCTAACCCCACACTTACCCGAAGTGTTGAAGTGCCGAAGTTCAGAATTTCGGAATGCCGAACCAAACCGAATATTTTTCCCATGCACATCCCTAGTGGGAGTTATAAAAGTAACTGGGAAATTAGAAAATTATTCAAGATGGCACTTTAGGTAAAACAGTTCAGTCAGTAGAGGAAGTTTATGTTTATATATGGTTCTACTTCATTTGTGAATATGTGAAATAAAAAATACAGAAATGAAAAGACAATAAAATGGGAAAATTTCATTGTGACAGTTGTAGTTAAAAAGGTGTTTGAGAATGAATTCAGTAGTTAGTCAATGTGCAAATTTGGGGGTTGGTAAAGGGGTCCATCGCTCACTGGTTCTCTGTTCCTTAAAACCACAGTCAGACAGCGCAGAGGAGGGGAGGCTATATTTGGCCTGGGAAGCAACTACAAACAAATAGCCATAGTTTGAGTACAAATCTTTCACTTTTGCCATTAATGCCACATTAAATGTTTTACACTAATACCTCAAGTACCGGAATACTCTATACTTATAGCTTAGATGGCAAATGCCCTCCTGCCTTCCTTGAGTCATAGGAGTAGTCCAATATACATCATATTAGGAGCAAAGCCTATTTGTGTTTATTTCTGTTGATGGGCCGATGGAAACTTCGTAGAAAGTTCTGTGACTCTTACCAGGTGACAGTTTATTGAGTGTTTATAGCAAAACAATGAGCTAATTCTAACTCTAAAAATGGCATTATAACATGGACTCTGCGCCAGAATCAATCACACAGACCGGCGCTATCAGCTCTCAGTGATTTATGCCGTGCCACAGTGTATTTGCATAACAAGTTTGAGAACATGAGCACTAATGGGGAACGTTTCAAATGATTTTCTGCGGGGCTCTCCAAAGGCTCCTGCCTAAATGAAATAATGCGTTCATGCTAAAGTCTGTCTGGCATTTGCATAACGCCTCCATCTTTCTTAGGTTCCCCATAGGACGCTAGACATGTCTATTGAAGCCAGTCACAAAGCAGTTATTGTAGAAGTGCCTGTGCACGGCTGCATTGCACTCCAGCCAGTGTTAGAATGTCCGTCACGTGTCTGGGGAATTGTAGGATGAAGCTGTGGACGATTAACTTTTTCTGTGCCAAATGAAAATCGAACAACCAAGACGTATTATTACATTAAATGTCTCTAAGTGAGTTTGAAGGGTGACGGTGAGCTAAATATATGTATTTTTATAATTATCAGTAGAACATGGAAGTATGTTGATTTCTCATTAATATTGGAGGGCTGAGTAATTTTTAAAAGGATACTACAAGCATATTATTAACTAGTAGGCAAAATTAACAATTTCCCATAGCAGAAGAAAAAGTGTTTTCTAGGCGACATTTTTTTATGCGTCATTTAATCGTCATTTTTCCGCAGTAATAAATGGGATCTACTCGTATGCGCAGTGTTTCCTCTTAGTAATGGAAGGGATTTCCCTGCCAGGCACTTAAAGACACTGGTTAACTCACCTGTGCTAAAGCAGGAGATCATGACATTTTGGCTGGTTGGTGGATCCGAAGGATAAATCTCAAGAATGCTTCTTTAAACCAAATCTCTAATATTTAATACGGTTGACACAAAGGGTTGGCTGGCTGAGGATTGTTAAAGCTGTGGTTCACTGTGGCTGGTATGCCAGGGGTGCAGGTTGTATATTTACCAATGAAGGGGTTAATTGGGTGCAATTCTGTATCTGCAGACTTGCAATACAATACACCTGCCTGACCGCCCGCAAAGCCGCCATGTCCCACCTAGCATTACACAGGTTCCTAGATACATTAATTCTCTTATTGTGTCTCGGAAATAGAATTTTAAGTATCAACAATTTGCAGAACATTCAGCTTTTGTTCTTGTTTTCGCTCAAAATCAAATTACAGTGAGAAGCCTATTTATCAAAGTCTCCTGATCACAACAAAAAACTGCAGCACAAGCAAGAAAGAAGTACAGCTAAATGTTCCAGCTAAACCGAAGGGATTTGGTTTGTTCATACATCAAAACGTAGACCTTCTCAGGATTTTGCACCATGTGGTCAGGAGAGACTGATAAATGGATGGATGGAAGGGCAGCCAGGGCCAAATTTCTTTGGATCCAAAGATCTCATTAGCCTGCAGGCTAACATCCACCCATTCCCTCACCCTCCCAAAAAGTATCTGCACAAAACTAACATCAATAGAAATAATAAGACATGCAACAGTTCATTCATAAACATACACGCATACCGACACACACATTCATACATACACTCATATATACCCACATTAACATATACCCATATACAGTAATACATACCAAACACATTCATATATACATGCATTCACACACACATAATCAGACACATATGTATTCCTGATTTTTATAATTTATTATTTTTTTTATAATGAGGTCCACCCTTTGCCAGTAGAGAGCTGGACGGGGCCTCATCCTGATTGCCTGGCGGAGCTGGGTTTGCACTGTGTACATGTTGCAGCTCCGTACTGATATTGAGGCTGGAGTGGCGTTATATAACGTTGTGATCATTCCAATTGCCATAATATATTTTAAAATACTGCGCAACAATTGTACCAGCTTTGGCCCATGCTGGACATGAAGCAGATGCAGAGGCAACTAGAGGTGCAACAGAGAAGGGGGATCAACCTGTTATCTTTTTTTTAGCCTTTTCCTGGTACATAGACTGGGTTATTTTTTAAACTAGAAACTTGCAAGATTTGGCAAGGTAATCACAAATCTAAAGCCAAAATGCCTGAATTAGATTATTTTTTTCCAGCTAGACTATTATTGCTAAAATTTGAAATGTTACTAGAAGTGGAATTTGGAATATGTATAAGAAGGGACTCAGCAGTGGACACCCATCTGACCCTTGGTTTGTGTTAAACACTAAAAAAAAAAAAACAGGTTGATACATAACCGAGTGTGACACCAGGGGAATGCTTGCACCATAACCACTCCAGCAGGTTTAGAATGCAAGACGACTGTAGGGAGAGGGATCTTTTTCGTCCCTGCTATTTTAAAATGGCCAGTACTCTGTATGAATGTTCCTGTACTGTAAGCAGTGCAAGTGTCCCTGGATCAACTGCTGATTTAATAACCCTACGTGTAACTCATCATCTTGAGTCTTGCACCAGTTATACAATAAGCTAAAACTAATTAAAGAGATAAGTGCTGGATCAAAAATAAGTTTATCCCTCTTTCTTTGGTTGTTTTTTTTTTTTTTTGTCTTTTGGGGAGAGATCATACCATCAAGGATACGCTAACAAAAAAAAAAATGTTTTTTATTGAAGATAGGCAGTGAGTGCCGAGATATGTGGTCATGTTGCAGTAACCACAGTCTGTCTACTGTGCAGCTCTGTGAAGATGAGTGTGAGGTCCTATAAGGACACGTTAGGGACCCTTAGCGTTTCTCTTACCTGGGGTTCCAAAAAAATAAGGATCGTACTGGCCAAACCACACAAGCAAATCTATTAAAAAAAATATTGAAAACCACTAAACAAATAATTACACAGATTGCAGACTTTTAATGTGCTGCTGATTATCTTAACCTTATATAAATACCCTTACTTGTTTTCTTGAGTGAACAGATCTACTTTAACCCTTTCATCTCAAGTGGGGAGTGAGCAATCCATGACACGAGAGGGTTAGTAGAGAAGACACGCATAAATTACAATGAAACTTGCAACTAGGCAGAAAAATAAAGCAGTTGCCCAGGAAACCACTTTGGGCAAACAAAGTCACATGACCGGGCCTTTCTCAGTGTGCCACCCCGGTCACTGGCTCATTGTGGCATGCCAGCATGGAGACCAACTTCTCAGCCTCTCTACGTGTCCTAGCTGAAAACAGGACAAACGACGATGAGCAAAGCACTCGGGATGTGACTGAGAGTCTTCTGGGTATGTTTCACGACAAGTCCTTCACATTAACGAGCTATGGCTTCATCCCCTGTCTTCATTACAAGTGAGGGACTGTAACTGAACTGTCTGTTCTGTTTTCATGCCGGTATCTAGTTTGAAAAGTTTGGGACAAGGCTTGCCAGGTTCACCATCATTTCGACGTTCTGATTTTGGAATGTTCTGCACTCAAGTATGTAGCATTCATATACTGTCAGAGAGAAATCCTTTACAGCTTAACTGTAACATAGTTTAATAGAAACTGCAATGTTTATATTACAGCTTTAAATCCACTTCTAGTGGATTTATCAGACTTTTAGTGGCATTCAATCAGGCTAGTTATTGAAAGTCTTCACATTCAGCACAATTACACCCAGCACAAAAGTTTATAATTCTTCTCTCTGAAGCATCTGATTAGTGGATTCTTGAAATTGCCACACATGCCCAATCTTTATGAGAAGCGTTAAATTGGTCCGAGATGATGATTACGGATATACGCACAGCAGATAGAGACTCAGTTTATGGAGTAATCATAACTGGGGAAAAACTAAGCAAGATTAATAAAGCCTTCTCAGTTAAAATAACTAAGCTATAACCCAACGTGTGTGGAAGGCTGGAGTGTCCCTTTAATAATATAAACCCACCCAGTATAACTAACTGTAACCTAACCTACACAGTGAATCTAACATGTGTGGGAGCCTGAAGTGACTATTTAATAATATAAACCCACCAAGTATAACGAATTGTAACCTAGTCTACAAAGTGCACCTAACGTGTGTGGGAGCCTGGCATCTCCCTTTAATAATATAAACCCACCCAATGTAACTAACTGTAACTAATCTACACAGTGCAACTAACGTGCGTGGGACCCTGGAGTGTCCCTTTAATAATATAAACCCACCCAGTATAAATAACTCTAACCTAACCTAAACAGTGCAACTAACATGTGTGGGAGCCTGGAGTGTCCCTTTAATAATATAAACCCACCCAGTATAACTATAAGCTAATCTACACTGTGCATCTAACATGTGTGGGAGCCTTGATTGTCCCTTTAATAATATAAACCCACCTGGTATAACAAACTGTAACTTAACTGCACAGTGCATCTAACGTATATGGGAGCCTGGAGTGTCCCTTTAATAATATAAACCCACCCAGTATAACTTAATGTAACTTACCTACAGAGTGCACCCAACATGTGTGGGAGCCTGGAGTTTCCCTTTAATTATATAAACGCACTTGGTGTACCTAACTGTAACTTACCTACAGAGTACACCGCACGTGTGTGGGAGCCTTGAGTGTCCCTTTAATAATATACACCCACTTGGTGTACCTAACTGTAACTTACTTACAAAGTGCATTTGACATGTGGGGGTCTGGAGAACTGCCTTAAAAGTTTTTGGAAGGAAATATTCATAATTGAAATAAAATATTATGAGCCGTAGTTTTTAGTTATAATTTTTCATTGAAAACATGCAGAGAGTGGAAACAAGGTTGTTAATTATAATTTAGTTAAATTTGGTCAATTGTGAATATTCTGGGTCTGACATTTACAAGCAGATGTTTTCTCATTTCACTAATCAATAGTATAATGAAATTACAACTACAGCATCCGCCTGTCGGCTTAGAGACTCGTTAACAAAGGATTGCTAACTCCCTGCTGGAGAAACTCGCATATATAGATTTAATTCTTTCAGAGCCAAAGACGCAAACAATATTTTGCTAGAGCTTATGACGTTAATGGGAAACTGTCACCACCTACCTGGCCCTCCATTCCCCTGCCGCGATCTCCCTACAGTGGTAGGTGTTCAACTTCTTTAACACCCACCTCCAATCCACCCACTTACCTTCTCAGCTCTTCCCTGATTTGCACTCCTTGGAGACACTCAAGAAGCAGGGCATGATGCTGACACAAGTCTTCGTTGCCAGTGCCCTGCCTTCTGAACAGTGAGGTCACATCACTCCGATTCACCGGCTAGGGGGTTGCCAAAGCAACCACCTCTCGTGCGCTGCGACTGCTATGGGTGGAGAGCAGAGGGACCCCTTCTCTTCTGCTCTGCTTATCTCTCATTTCCTCTGAATTTAATGTCTGCCAAGGAATTGAGAGACAGATGGGAGAAAAAAATATTTTTAAACAGGTTTTTTTTTTGCCAAATATATACATTTGCTTGCAAATCTTCTACCACAATATATAGATTGAAACGTATGCTCCGTCTAAGGAGCATCCGATAATTGGGACATGACAAAGTCACATTAAAGTTCTACAAACCCTGAAAATTAAGAGACGGTAATCTTCGTGAATTAAGTTTATTTTAAAGATCCAGATACAATTAATGATTTAACACATCATGAAAGATGACTACATTTCCCCTTTTTTTTTTCTATTCTTTATATAAGTCCAGGCATTCATATAAGACATTGGTAATTGTTCAGCGCATGTCAAAAAGGTGTGTACATAGGCCTGCAGGTTGTACAATGCGATATTAGAACAATGAGATGCATATTACAGTGGTATATAGCAAGCAGCTGCGTGCATTTTGGGGATTTTTGAATAGTTTTTTTTTAATCTTAATTTTATTTTCATTTGTTACATTCAGTAAATTATTTATACTTTACAAGTATCAACTGCAAATCTGGCAGCACAAAGCCGTCCGCTGCAGATTTGCAGTTGATACTTGTAAGGTATAAATAATTTACTGAATGTAACAAATGAAAATAAAATTAAGATTTAAAAAAAACTATTAAAAAATCCCAAAAATGCAGGTATGTTAAGGTTCTGCGGGATTCCATAACTTTCCATTTTATTAATTACTATATTATTGCCATGGAGCCCAAATCTTGTGAAACTTGTCCATGAGGTAAGTATCTTTGAAGATGACTTGGGCGATACGCTGAACCTCAGACTGCAACCACGATTGGGCCATAGACCAGAGTGCTGGTAGGTTGAGCATGTTTCAAGGGACACTATAGGCACCCAGACCACTTCAGCTCTTTGAAGTGGTCCGGGTGCATAGTCCCAGGTCCCTTAACCCTGCAAAGGTAATTAATGTAGTTAATACCTTTGCGGGTTAACTCCACCTCTAGTGGCTGTCTTCCAGCCACAAGAGGGACATCTGGGTGGTTATGCGACTTTTGGTTGCCTGACGCTGATTGTCCTCAGCCAATGCATGAGGACGTCCAGCATCATGTAAAACACCATAGGAAAGCATTATACATGCTTTCCTATGGTGGAAGTCGTAATGCGATGCATGGCAAACAACGCACATGTGCATTAGGCGTTGGCATCTGAGGAGCAGAGGCAGAGCGTGAACCAGCGCCAAGGGACTCCGTTAACAAGGGGTGGGGCGTGAGGGAAGGAGGCACTATAGGGAGCTATAGTGCCAGGGAAAAAAGACCGCTGCTCTTTGGTGGATGATCCCTCTGTGGGCCTAGAAAACAGAAATGCCAAGTGGTCTAAGTCAAAGTGTCTATGTAAGATTGTAGCCATCAATGCCTTCACCTCCATCTAGAACCCAGCTGCCCGTGAGCAGGTCTATCACATGTGCAGGTGTGTGCCCTTCTTCCCATATAGATGCCAACAAGTATCTGTGCCCATTCTGCCTATGTGTCAAAGTTTAAATGGTGTGGCATACCAATGGACCAACATTTTGAATTACTGTTCCTCAAGGGTTGAGCACTGAAGTGCCAAAATTTGTATCGCTAAGAATATTTGATCAAACGTTCATATCCCTTTTATGTAGAATCAGGCATGGATTTGATAGAGTAAAATGTATGTAAACCTTAATCAAAAGGACTAAAATAAAGTCATGTCTCTAACTACCCTAACAGCCATGACCCACCACCCACTATTATTTATTTCTGTATTTTTTTTACTTGTTTCGCAGCATTCAAAATCATTAACGCCTCTCTGGTGTGTCTGGCTTTAATGATCCTGACAGCCTTTGCCATTATGTGCAGCGTCTCCTACCACAAACGCAGCAGGTAAGTGTTCAATGTTTGGAGACGGGTTAGATCAGGTCTCAATGGGGGCTTTCTATATCACAGCTGGACTTTTCTACATCCACTGGAAGCAATTCTACACATTGATATCTCTTTCCATATCATATTATGATATTTAGGCGTTATGCCCAGTTGCAACCTGAAAATTATACTGGGTCTAGGTAATCAATTCCCATAACTTTTCTATATAATTGTTAGCCTTCACTGTTTCTACTAATGTTATTTTCCTGTTAAGAGAGGTCATTCCTGGAAACAAACTGTCAATGATGGGATTATCAAACTTTATCTATGTAAAACTGCCACTAGCCAAACGAATATTAGAATAGGTCAAATCACTGAATAAAGATAAGCAGATTATAAATGAATATACATTAAACAGTTTAAAGAGCCCCTAGACCAGGCATAGACAACCTTTGGCACTGCAGATCTTTTGGACTACACCTTCCATGATCCGTTACCAGCATTATGTGTGTAAGAGCATTATGGGGGATGTAGTCCACATCATCTGGAGTGCCGAAGGTTGTCCATCCCTGCACTAGACACTCTAAATTGCTAAGCTTTAAATAGACACTCCGGGCACCAACCCAACTTTAATGCATTTCGTAAGTTTTGGCCTCATTAACCCTTTAACACCGTTACGGCGTTCTATGCCGTCCCGCATTAAGTGGGCTTTAAAGCCGTTGCGGCGGCACAGAACGCCGTAACGGCTTGCAGCCCCTGGAAGTCCGGCGTACTTACCTCCGTCGCAATCCTCTGCTGGAGGGCTGCCTGACAGCCCAGGCAGCCCTCCCCGGCAAATGAGGCCCCCAGTGGCCATGTGATGGCTCTCAAAGAGCGAACACATGGCCCCCTATAGCTGGCTGTGGATCTGACAGCAGGAGGACTGTCTGAAATGGCAGACAGTCCCCCTGCTGGTGGGAAAGTAAAAAAATAAAAATTAATTCAACATATACATATTATATATATGTAACGTCATACAAAGTGTATTTTAATATTAATATAAGTACATATATTAGTATTAAAATACACTTAGAATGACGTTACATATATATATATATAAAATATATATATATATATATATACATATATACATATAATTACAATAATAAATAAAATATTGAAACAAAATATAAATTATATATTCATATGTAATTTCATTCTAACTGTATTTTGTTATTAATATATATATTGGTAACAAAATACACTTCAAATGACATTCTATATATAACTATCTATATATAAAATACAAATATATATATATATATATATACACACACACATATAATTACATAAAAGATTACATTAGTATACACGTAGAATTTAAATACCTATAAATGCATATATATTAAAATTCAATGTGTATATTTAAGTAATTTTTTAACATAATTATGTTATTTGATTAATTAAAATTTGATTGACATGCCTGACAACACAGGGAGAAAGTGCAGAGAATTTAATTCCCAAGCACTATATTTGACCCTGTAACTCTCCAAGACACCATAAAACCTGTACATAGGGGGTACTGTTTTACTCGGGAGACTTCGCTGAACTCAAATATTAGTGTTTCAAAATGATAAATTGTATTACAACGATGATATTTTAAGTAAAAATTAAGTTTTTTGCATTTTTTACAAACGAACGGCACTTTTATGGACTATATTATTGTTGTAATATGTTTTACTGTTTTAAAACACTAATAATTGTGTTTAGTGAAGTCTCCCGAGAATAACAGTACCCCCCCATGTACAGGTTTTATGGTGCCTTTGAGAGCGTATGGTAGCCCAGGAATGAGAATTACCCCCATGATGGCATACCATTTGCAAAAGTAGACAACCCAAGGTATTGCAAGTGGGGTATGTCCAGTCTTTCTTAGTAGCCACTTAATCACAAACACTGGCCAAATATTAGTTTTTTTGCTTTTTTCACACAAAAACAAATATGAAAGCTAACTTTGGCCAGTGTTTGTGACTAAGTGGCTATTAAAAAAGACTAAACATGCCCCACTTTCAATAACTTGGGTTGTCTACTTTTTCAAAGGGTATGCCATTATGGGGGTAATTCTCATTCCTGGGCTACCACACCGTCTCAAAGGTAACATTACTAATCTGGCAAATTTCAATGTGAAAATGGAACGTTCTATATTTGACCCTGTAACTTTCCAAAACAGCATAAAACCTGTTAATGGGTGGTACTGTTGTACTCGTGAGACATCGCTGATTACAAATATGTGCATTTTTTTGCAGTAAAACCTAACAGTATTATGACATTCACAGCTAAAATGTCAGACGGAAATACAAATAAAAAAATTAAAAAATATCTTATTTTCTCACATTTTTTAAAATTTTATTCATAATACATTATGTTCAATATATGAATAGTTAATGATAAATTAAAGCTCTGTTTCTCCTGAACAAAATGATATATAATAAGTGTGGGTGCACTTAATGTGACAGCGGTGAATTACGGTTGAACAGACATATAGCGCAAATTCCAATTTTGTTTACGTTTTGTTTTGATCAGAACATGAACTATTGACTCCGTCCTGAAGGGGTTAATGTGCTCTATGTTTATTATTTTTATTTTTTCCATTGTAATTTTGGCATTAAAAAAAAAAATGTTTTGCAGAATGCTGCACTATAAACCAGCCTACTTAGCCACACCCCCTCCTTCCAGAAAGTGACTTCCTTATTAAATGTATGTACACAACTCATTGACAGCATTTAGTCATCTGAAATACAAAGCAACCTGTATTAGGAGGAGAGCACACTCTGGGAGAGATATAGTGAGGATATCACAATCTGTTTGCAGTGTGACTATCTATAGGCAGGTTGTGAATTAAAGCCAGCTCACCCAGTACTAAGTAGAAAGGCTTCTAGTGAAGCAATCTGAAAAAAAAAACTTTTTTTGTGCAAAAACTATAAAGATTTGAATGTGCAAAACTATACAGCATATTAATGAGATCAAAACCTGTCAAATGAATTGAATTGTATTGGAGATCAAAGAGTTCCTTTAACTACAGTAGTTCCTTCCTTTACTAATTCCTAAAATGGGAGTTATTTTTTAAATTAAAATTTTAACATTTAGAAGGCTTGGAAATGCGGCTTCAAGCCATCCCTCCACACCCACTGGATAGAAGATACTTCCCAGTGTTCATACCCTGGCATATTGGGATATTGGGACAAAACGTGCACATGCACAGTGCCGTCATGGCTTGTCATAAAGAATCATTGCAATTAATGATTCTCTGGGACAGAATCAATTGTGGATCACAGCGAGCGCTGTGCATGCACCCACAATCACCAGTGCTCCCCTATGAAGAGCATTGGACTGAACCGTCATCCTTGAATCACGCCTCCAGGATGACATCATATGGGGAGGAGCGTGAAGAAGCAAGAGAAAAGGTAAGTAAATTGTTTCTTTTTTTTTTTAACGGGGCAAAAACGAACTAGGGGTAGGCATTGTATAGTATTAGGAATACAGATTAGAGTTGAGTGAACCCGAACTGAAAAGTTCGGGTTCGTACCGAACATTAAGTTTTTTGGACCCCGGACCCGAACACAGACATATAACTGTATGTTCGAGTTGGAGTTCGGTGCTCGGCGATTTAATGACGCGTTTTTAAAGGCTGCAGGGCAGCCAATCAACAAGCATTTGACTCGTGTGCCCTTAGAAGCCATCACAGCCATGCCTATTAATGGCATGGCTGTGATTGGCCAGTGCAGCATGTGACTCATGTCTATTAAACTGTTGGAAAAAAATATTCCCTAAATAAAAATTGGAGGGGGGGACCTAATATCCCCCCCTCAGCCCCCACCCCTGAGCTGTGGGTGGGGGCCCTAAATAAAAATTGGGGAGGGGACGGGGGGACCTAATGTTCTCCCCGGCCCCCACCCCTGAGCGGTGAGTGGGGGCCCTAAATAAAAATTGGAGGGGCGGACCTAATATCCCCCCCTCAGCCCCCACTCCTGAGCTGTGGGTGGGGGCCCTAATGTTCTCCCCGGCCCCCACCCCTGAGCGGTGGGTGGGGGCCATAAATAACAATAAGGGGGGACAGACCTACTGTCCTCCCCCCCGGCCCACACCCCTGAGCGGTGGGTGGGGGCCCTAAATAAAATTGGGGGGGGGGGGACACACCTAATGTCCTCCCCCTCAGCCCCCACCCCTGAGCGGTGGGTGGGGGGGGGAACGACCTGATGTTCTCCCCCAGCCCCCAGTCCTGAGCGGTGGTTGGGGGCCCTAAATAACAATAAGGGGGGGGACAACCTACTGTCCTCCCCCCGGCCCCCACTCCTGCACGGCGGGTGGGGGCCCTAAATAATTGGTGGGGGCCGCCTTATTGTTATTTAGGGGTGGAGGCCAGGGGGGGAGGACAGTAGGCCCCCCCGCCCAAATTCTTATTTATGGCTCCCACCCACCGCTCAGGGGTGGGGGCCGTGGGGAGAGGACAGTAGGTCCCCCCCTATTGTTATTTAAGGCCCCGACCCGCCGCTCAGGGGTGGGGGCCGGGGGGGAGGACAGTAGGTCCCCCTTCCACATTCTTATTTAGGGCCCCCACCCGTCACACAGGGGTGGGGGCAACAGGTTTTTTTTTTTGTTCGTTTTTTACGGTGAGCAGTGTTTACTAGACATGCCCCTACTCGCGGTATAGCGATTAGGGGCTGAATTTACTAATACTAATTAATCTTTACTTAGTATTAGTAAATGTGGCTGAAAGACCAATTTATGTCTTTCAGCCTTTTGGTAGATAGCTCCCTAATACCATTTGTTTGCAGGGCACTTGTCCTACTCTTACCCCCATTTTACTTCCTTTTGCAGCCCTCTAGCCCTTTCCAGGAGTTTTTTAGAGCCATTTTTGTGCCCAAAAGCTCGGGTCCCTAATGACTTCAATGTGGTTCGGGTTCGGGGTCAAGTTCGAGCTCGAATCCGGACTTTTTTTCAAAGTTCGGCCAAACCCGCCGGACCCGAACATCCAGGTGTCCACTCAACTCTAATACAGATTTGTTTTCCTAACGCTATAGTGTGCCTTGAAAGGGTCAGTCTCAGCGCCATCCCACAGTTGCATCATTGCAAACTTGATACTGCACTAATTTGTGATTTTTCAATTATGTGAAATAATTGTTTTTAAATAAATAGGGGTTTTCAAAGTAAAATGACTCCACTACTAATACAAATCTTATGTACTCTTTATTCTCTACAGACAATACAAGAGAGCGAGGGAATATGAGGACAAAGTGAGATATAAGGCAGCTGGGAGTCCCATTCACATTACTGGGATTAAAAGGGTGCTGAGTATTCACAAACCATTTATACTAATGCGGAAACAGGAAAGCACAAAGCACAGTTCACAAGTTTATTTCATCTATGACAACCCGGCAATGGCAGCTACAGAAAGTGAGGTCCAGGACATCCATGAACCCCTAAAAGATCCAGCTGTCAGTTGCTTGATTGCCAATGAGGGTAAGGCCACAGGTATCCTGCTGAATCCCCGAGTATTCTATGTCTAACACTAAACGATGCCAACATTCTAGAATCAAGCTTCTCCAGACAAACCTGAACCTAGAATAAAGGAGTACCTTCTGATACCTTTAACAGTTTCCATCTTCCATACCATATCACTTGAATGATATGATGGTCAATTATCTCCAGATTACTGAAACACAACTTTTTTGTTCTTTTTTCCCCCCGCACCCATATTTTACTTGTATTCAAGTCTTCATCTGCTCAACTAATGTATAACGGGTATTAAATTTGCACTGGTACTTACTTTTGTGGCCACCATTTTGTAAAATGATTTTAAAAGTTTTCGACAATGGTAGAATTCATCCATGTCGAAATGTAAGGATTATTTACAAGAATAGAGCGCATGAGGCAGTCCAGATTTTCCATTAGGCAATTTTTGTGGTTTTTAAATATTGCCAACCATCATGAGTATGACTAAACAACTAATACATTTTATTTTCAAAAGAGCAATATTTCCATTTAGGCAATAGGGAATAAACTCAAATCCAATATCCTACAGCTGGTCATTCATCAATATGCTAAAAATGTTATTAGAATATAAACTAAATCTGATATTTTTATTAGTATAAGTTAGGATAGCAAGACCATAAAGTGACACTCTAAGCACCAAAATCAATACAGCTCAATGTAGTGGTTATGGTGCTAAACAGACAGTCACTGAAGTCTCAGCAATAAAACAGTGCACTTTTCGAGATTGGGATTTTTACATTGCTTCCTAAGGATACCTGTAGTGGCAGTCACTCAAACAGCAACTAGAGGCACTATTTGTTGTAGTCCTGCAATCTTAGCGTCATCACACTCTATGGAGAGCTTTCGGCATCTTTATGTAGAGATGGATTGAGCTAATGCATATCTGAAATAGACAGGAAAATACTAATGCAGTTGTTCCTTTAAGTACTCTTCTTCATCCTTGTTGTGCAATCAAATCTAAACTACCCCCCTTAAAAGAGATTGAACAAGATTTACAGAACTGTCGATTTTTAATATTACCGTAAATAAATATATACAATATAGCATCATTGTGCATTATAGATTATAATCAGGGGTTTATAGCCTATAATATAGCATCATTGTGCATTATAGATTATAATCAGGGGTTTATAGCCTATAATATAGCATCATTGTGCATTATAGATTATAATCAGGGGTTTAAAGCCATATGCTACTAGCCAAGGCTTACATGTTACTCACCACTGTAAGAATTGAAGGTGCATGGCACTCTCGCCTGGCCTAAACCGTCACTCATGAATGGCTAGGGGAAATGTTAAACCCTCATAAATAAAAATACATTAATACATTTTCAGAGCAACTCTTATCCCTGCTTCACAGAAGCAGTCATTTTTAGCCCTTGTTGGTCAAACACATCACTTATATGCTAAAACCACGCACAATTTAAATTGCTGAAACGGCCGCAGTGGGCCTTTTTGAGATGCCTAGCATTTGGAAATTAGTGAAGGTGCACTTGCTCGTTATTACATTTTATTGAATAAGCTATCCTAACCAAAAAGGGCTTACACACATCCATCATCATAGTGCAAGATTAAGCCAGGAGAGCTACAGAAAAGAGGTATTCACTTGTGTGCATTACAAAATTATGCACAGACACTACAATACATGCAATCTTTTATTTTTAATAATAATAATAATAATAATAACAAATGGACAGTTTTCCTTTATACTGCAATAAATCGTCTATTAAAAGGTAAGTCTGCCCAACAAGAAACCTTACTTGTACTTACAGGAAACTCAAGAGGGCACACACTAATTCTACCTAGCTCGTTAATACATAATGTATTGTAAAGCCAATTTAGTAAATAATCCACTAAATGTACTGTACTTTAAAGTCTAATCCAGATCTCTAGTCAAATTCTGCACTTCTTTCTGGAGGACAACTGTGGAAACCTTACTTCTCAGAACTGCGGTGCCAAGACAAACATTTCTTAAGGGCTGCTTTGTGAGATTGTAGCTAAGCAAAACCAGTCTATTTTTTATATGTATAATCAGAATGTGAATCATTATTGTGAATTATTAGACTTCAGAGCCAAGGATTTTCTGAGCACAGATTCACTGGTTACATGATTTTTGTAATATGACAGTATTAGAGACTTACTTGAAAATCTGTTTCCATTTAACAAGTGGAGTAGGGGGGGAGGAGGATATTCTATTACTTTTCTATTTTGGAAATATTTCTATTTGCACCTGAAATGGATTTTCATCAGAATGCCGTGATGTATTCAGAGCACAGAAAATAAGGGGATGTTTAAATCTGTACAGAGAACAAAGAGAGCTGTACGGTACAATGTCTTGATGTATGGTGAGTGATGGCGAATAGAATTGATCACAAAAAAAAAAAAAAGTTGTTAAAAATTCATTAAGGGATTGCAATTTTCACGCAAATTGCCAAATGATACTTCCTCTAAGCCTAAGGAAGTATTGTGTTTTTGTTTGGAGTATTTGATTCTTAATGCAGGGTGTTACCCTCATGTAATTTTAATTTTTTCTTCAAATTGCCAAATTGTAAATATATTCTCCAACTAAGCTGTTTAGCAATCAGATATTTTCTATCAATACTCCACGAAACCCAATTTCGTAAATAGTCCACTAAATGTTTAGTATAAAGGGACACTTCAGACCCCTGGACAGCGGCATGCTTATGAAACCATAAGGTGCTCCAAACTAGACTTGTGCACAAGTGTGTTTCACCTTGTACAAATGAACCAAATACCTTTAATTTATGCCTCAGTACGAATCTGGAATTTGTTGAATAATCCTGTTTGTTGAATAAGACTCAGCAGTACAGATCCACTAGTTTGGGTGCAGATTAAAAGACATTTCAAGCTAAAACACATTTTTATAACTCCAAAATGTAGCCACCAACATATAGCAGACTGTGAAGACGTCAGTAATCAGCAGTACACTTTCATGTTTAGGGAAACTGTGATATGACATTGTGAACACTAAAAGCAGAAGATGGGAAAATTCAACGTGCAAAGCATTACGGACTTACCTGCAAACCAACGGTTTCATTTGGAGACATCCTTTCACACAACAATCAGAAGTATGACTATGGCAGTAAGTTAGCAACAAAATTAGTCATTTTAATTACAATTTTTTATTGATGATTTTAACCTTATAAAAGGCAGGTCCAATTCCACGACTTGATGGTTTGGAATTAACCCCTTGGTGCCAAGTGTTCAAAAGGCCATGTATTTCAATTAAATCTGAGACTTTTTTAAAAAAAAAAAGTGTTAATGGACTTTGCTTATAGGCTGCGTTTCACTGATCAGCCACCGGAGGGCGTCAAGCCGTCCTTGTTTCTCCAGCTCGGCTCCTATGACATCTCTGCATTTTTTGTGATATGTGTTCACCCATTCGACCTTCACAAAACAGACAGGATAAACATCACTTAATAGAATGTAGCTTCAGAAAACTGGACAGGCTTATGTAACAGCCCTTATATAGTGCTTGGGAGTTAGAAAAGGAATTGCATATTTCTGATTTAGTGAAAAAACACACCAATAAGGATAATGATAAGAACTACAGCTTTGTTGAAGCTTTTAGGCTGGAATTAAGCATGTCTGCAAACTATGAGAGCAAGGAAAATATGAATTTTATTAAGACACGGAGGCTCCTATTATGCTGCACTCTTTCTTTATTTTCCCTCAGCAGCAAAGAAAAAACGTAATCAAAGTTAACAATAAACAGTGTGAGAGGAGTATCCTAGCAACAGGAACAGCCAATCGGATTCCACTCTCCAGCATAATAGGCTCTGTGAACCAATCCAATTCCTCTTTCTTTGCTGCTCCCTCAGTTAAGTAACATCAGATCCCATGGTTTCTTAACTGTGGGATCGCTTTTTACATTTTATATTGCTGTTTATATTGCTATTTATTTACTTATTTATTTAAGATTACTTCTTTAAATTGTTTTACTATACTACTCCTTTAAATCGCTTGTTTTAATATTATGTGTCATTGCTCTTGATGGTTAAACTTTTGAGGGTTATTGAAGTTTTCAACTAGTCCCCTCATAGTTTAGCGTTTTTCTGCCTGTCACTTGGCTGACTTCCTTAACCCTGAGCCGGTGAGTTTCACCGTGCTCGGGGGGTTTTCTATTTCCCAACCTCGTCCGACCGTTAATGAGGCGAGCGCGCGCGCTCCCCTCCCTGCGCCCATTCACCTCTGTCCCGCTGTTTAGATACCCGCGTTCGGGTATTTTATGCGAACGCACTCTAGGCATTGCGTTCGCGAACGCATTCCTCCATTGACACAGACGTTCGCCTATGCGAACGCTTCTGTCCCATCCCCGTTCGCGATTTTTTCACTATTTGCGGCGGCCATTTAGTGCTTTCCCGCGCTCTGCCACTAGCACTGCCCCCCACAGACCGGAACTCTGAGTAGGGAGCTAGTGCTAGTGGCGGTCGGACGGCTTTTTTCTCTCTCTACGGTACCTGTATTAATTCTATGAGTGAACACTTTATTATATTATATTATATTGTACTGTTTTTTCCTTTCATATATTCTGTCAAGTATTATAGATTCCCTCCTACAGGGTTACTCAACCCTCCCCTATAGCTTTTGTTGCCAACAGGTTATCATATTTCAGATTCATATATAATCCTGTCAGTCACTGTCATAACTATGCCTTCTGACAAGGATACTCCCTCTGGGTCTATTAACCCTGACAGGGCTGGTTTTCAGGCACCTTCAGGTGTATATGATGATATGGCGGTTCCACCCGCTGAGCTTGATACCCCTGCTGTTACGCAGACCTTGATTGATGACACCATGTCACAGGTTATGACTAAAGCCCTCATGTCGGCCATGGGACTAATGTCTGATTCCATATCCCAGACACTTACACATGCCCTAATCCAGGCGCAAAAATCAGCGCAACCGACTTCGGCCCAGATGGTGCCTGTCACAACTCCTTTACAACCTCAGACCGGCCGCAAGGCCTTGGCAAAATGAAACATTCCTCAATGCCACAGATGGACAGCCATGCACCTGTCACAGATGGCGCGTCTATACAACCGCGCAAAAGAGCCACTAGCCGGGCAAAATCGGCTAGATTGTGGAAAAGGGCAAGGGCCCAAGTTGATTCTGAGTCTGATCTCAGCGACATTGAGGAGGAGGCTTCTGTTGTTTTGGAAGATCCATCGGATCCCGACTCAGATTGCCCGGCCGGGGACTACAGCCATTCTCAGGACTACAGTCCGCTCCAGTCAGACATGCCTGTTGTAGACCACAAGGCACAAGGGGATGTAGATATGATTGTGGATCAACACGGTGAACCCCTGTTTGATCCTGACCTATTACGCCACCCACGGTCGGCGGAATGGTCCTCCCCAGAACATGTGGCCAAATATATAGCGTCTAGGGTACGCAAGCCTTTAGAAAAGGCGACACGGAATAAACTACGGGCAGAATGCCCGCGCCCCACAGTCCCAGATGATGCCTGCAGCACACCTGCAGTTGACCCAAGATTACCCAATTCTTGGGAAAGACAGGCTGGAAGCCCAACAAAGGCTTGGAGTTTGCCCTGCGCAATTGCCAAGACAAGGTCTTGGACATCCTGGGCCCAGCTACCAAAATATTCGAAGTGGTCCAAGATGACCAAGAGTTGGATCGGGCCGCCATAAATGGATGGATCCAACGGATTATTTGCCTGATTGGCAATGCCAACACGGCAATAGCCACGGAACGCCGCAAGGCGATACTATTGAAAATAGAACCGGAATTGGTTAATATGGCCCTGAACGAACCGGGCGCCCAAGCTAAGGGTCTCCTATTCGGAGACAATTTTGTCAAGGAATTGGGCTCCTTTGTCCATACATTTACTGCCCTAGATAAGGCGCAATCCAACATGCGCAAGGTGTTTCACCCCAAGGTTTTTGGTGGGGCCGGAAGAGCAAGGAGCCGTCTGTCCGGCCGTGTTAACAGAAGTTCTTTTAGACAGAACAGAGGCTCCTATACGGGACGAGCCAGTTTCACGGAACACCGCAACGCTCCGGCGTTCTTCCCACAGCGTGGGCGGCCATGGGTTGCCCGTGGACCACGGAATGCCCACTCCGGGCGACGACCTTACGGTAAGTCCTCTCCATTTACATTCTTCCCTATGGGCAGTGGGGGGCAGACTCCGACATTTTTCCCACATGTGGGCTCGCATATCGTCAGATTCTTGGGTGCTAAACACCATAAAAGGATATACAATAGATTTCCTGTCCCTACCCGTGCAATTCTCCCAACCACGAGAAATGTCTTTTTCCCTAGCAGACAAGACCCTGGTCACCCAGGAAGTTTCAGACTTACACCACAAAAAGGCCATTTCAGAAATCCCTATGGCCACGACAGGTTATGTCAGCAACCTATTCCTGGTTGCCAAGAAAGGCGGCGGGGTCCGCCCAGTGATCAATCTGAAACAACTCAACACTTACGTCTCTTACAACCATTTCAAAATGGAAGGAATACATTGTCTAAGAGATCTCCTCCAACCAGCGGATTGGATGGTGAAACTGGATCTCAAAGACGCTTATCTTACAGTGCCGATCGCCCGGCACCATCAGGATTTCCTGCAATTCATCTGGCAGGGCAAGAAGTGGAGGTTCACCTGTCTCCCTTTCGGGCTGTCATCGGCCCCGTGGTGCTTCACCAAACTCATGAAGCCCGTGACGGCCTTTCTTCGGAGCCGAGGAGTGCGTCTCATAATCTATCTGGACGACATCCTCATTATGGGCCAATCCGCCCAAATTGCACGGACCCATTTGAACTGGACTCAGACCCTATTACAGAACTTGGGTTTCCTCATCAATTGGGACAAATCCATCTTGACTCCCACTCGGCACATAGAATTCTTGGGTCTCATCGTAGACTCCACGTCTCAGACCCTACATCTACCGATGTCGAAACTGAACAATATCAAAAAGGAAATCAAACGCTCCCTGGCAGCTCCTCAGCTGTCCCTCAAACAGTTGGCAAGGGTGATTGGCCTCCTGGCGGCCTCCATACAAGCCATCTTCCCGGGGCCGCTCCACTACCGGGCGTTACAACGCCTTCACGCTGCCAACCTGAGAGACGGGGTCGCCTACACAGATCTGATCACTCTGAACTCGGAAGCGAAGGACGAACTGACATGGTGGCTCTACCATATGGAAGCCTGGAATGGTCGAGCCATTTTTGGCACCGCACCAGATCTGGTAATAGAATCAGACACGAGTTTACACGGCTGGGGTGCTCGCTGTGGAGACATCTCTACAGGTGGCAGGTGGTCCAACAGCGAAGCTACACTCCACATCAATTGCCTGGAACTCCTGGCAGGATCCTTTGCGATCCGCAGTTTTTCACCGACCCTGGTACAATGCTCTATCCTTCTGAAGATGGACAATATATCGGCAGTCCGATATATCAACCATCTGGGGGGCACGAAGTCAAAGGTCCTGGCGAACATGGCACGAGATTTTTGGCAGTTTTGCCTGACTCAAGGCATTTCTGTGACAGCGGAGTATATTCCCAGGCTCTGCAACACCACGGCAGATTGGTATTCACGACACCTCCGGGACGCCAGCGATTGGCAATTGGACCCCAGGGTATTCCGAACTATTCAATCAATATGGGGCCCCATGGACAAAGACCTGTTTGCCTCCCGCTTGAATGCGCAACTTCCCCGATTTTTCAGCTGGAGGCCGGACCCAGCAGCGCTAGCGACAGATGCGTTCACGCAGGATTGGTCGTCCACAAGGAATTATGCCTTTCCACCGTTTGCACTGATTCCTCGCTGCCTCCTACAGTTACGACGACAGTCGGGAACCCTGGTGCTTGTCGCACCGTTATGGCCCTCCCAACCTTGGTTCCCTCCCCTCCTGGAGATGGCGGTGGACGTGCCTCGAATTCTCCCACACTCCATTTATTTACTGCAGGACCCAGATGGGGCCCCCCACCCCCTGGTGCAGCAGGATCTGCTACGGCTAACAGCGTGGCTAATTTCAGGGGACCTTGGGCAATCGAGGGAGTTTCGGAATCGACTCTCCGCCTTCTCGAGAACGCATGGGCACCCGGCACAAGACAGGCTTATAAGTCTTCATGGGGCAAATGGCGTGATTGGTGCCTGGAACGAGACTTGGATCCCATATCAGCTCCTGTGAGTGATATCCTCCACTTCCTCACGTCCCTGTTTGAGGATGGCAAGGCCTATCGTACAGTGAACCTATACCGCTCGGCCATTTCAGCGGCACACCAGGGGACTGCGGGTGTCCCGATTGGACGACACCCGTTGATATGTAAACTCCTACGTGGCATTAAATTCACCCGACCCCCGCTCCCACGATATTCGATGTTATGGGACGTCTCCGTCGTCCTAAAATTCATTGAATCATGGCCGGACAATGCACAACTGTCCCTGAAACAATTGTCGGCCAAGCTGGCTATACTTCTCTGCCTCATTTCTTGCAAAAGGGTATCCGATGTCAGAGCTCTGGACATTACCGCACGCTCCTACACCCCAGAGGGGGTCACCTTCGATATCTCTCGCAGAACGAAGACGTCCTCGAAGTCGGTGTCATACCCAGCGTTCCCCGACAGACCACTCTTATGCCCAGTCAAGTGGCTACAATCCTATGAGCTCCGCACCTCCACATTTCGGGACATGACAAAACAAGAGCTTTTCATATCCTTCCGGAAACCTCACCTACCGGTGTCTACCCCGACCCTGGCGCGATGGGTCAAATGGATGATGTCCATAGCAGGCATCGACACTTCACTATTCTTACCTCACTCAGTGCGAGGAGCGATGGCTTCCAGAGCCTCCATGATCGGTTGTCGACTGGAAGACATTTTGAAGGCAGCTGACTGGTCCTCAGAATCGACTTTCAGGGACTTTTACTTTAAACCCATTCAACACTTCGCGGGATCTATAATTTCCCAGCTTTAAACCAGCATAATAGGAGCCTCCGTGTCTTAATAAAATTCACAGATTTTACTATTAGCATGACGTAAAGTCATGATTTTATTAACGACACGGAGGCGAGTATTATCCCTCCCTCCCATCCCAAGGAAGGATGGAATATGGGTAAGTTGATTTCAAGGTAAGTCCTAGTAGTTTGAGACTGATACACGTTAGGCTTGCCGATACTCCACTTAACTGCTCAGACTTCTTAAACAAATGTCGTGACATTGGACATATTATGAGTTATGTGGACATCCAGTTTAATACAAAGATATTACCATATTTCTCCTTGTCTTACAGCTTAACCTTCTTCAGGTCATTGGAAGTTCCCTTGTTACACGGTTCTCTTGTCTGGACTGGATGATTACACTACTTCGGGATCGCAAATCAAGAGGAATTGGATTGGTTCACAGAGCCTATTATGCTGGAGAGTGGAATCCGATTGGCTGTTCCTGTTGCTAGGATACTCCTCTCAGACTGTTTATTGTTAACTTTGATTACGTTTTTTCTTTGCTGCTGAGGGAAAATAAAGAAAGAGTGCAGCATAATACTCGCCTCCGTGTCGTTAATAAAATCATGACTTTACGTCATGCTAATAGTAAAATCTGTGAATTAAAAGCCATACTGTTACAAAGTTATAAAAATCAGGCCGCCACTAGAGGTGCTTCCTAGTCTAATGCTGCACAGTGTGCAGCACCTACGTTTAGTGTCCCCACGCTCTGCATGCAGATACTGAACGCTCCCCATAGAGATGCACTGATTCAGTGCATATCTACGAGGAAATGATGAATGGCGCAGTAATCTACCAATGGGAAAGCATTGGATTGGCTGAGATTGTTAAATTTGATAATCTCAGCCATTAAGGCGGGGCCAGTCGCAGCGAGGGAGAAAAGGTCATTAAAATATCTGATCTCCACAGACACGAGGGCTAGGGACCTAATTATGTATTCCTGCACAACAGTGTTCCTTTAAATTTGAAATTCACTTTGAATTCTCACTTTGGTTAATAACCTTGTTTGCTTGTGGTTTTTAGCTAATCACATCATAGCTCTAAGTAACCAGCTAGGCATTGTGGGAAGATGAACAATTAAAGCATACTTTAAGTAAGCATAATTTTTACTCTATGTATATAACACAAACACACCCACCACCCCTTTTTGCATTGCAGGTTCCCTTTTAAGGAGCACTCTACATGCCAGAACAATGAATGTGCATGGTAGTGGTTATAAAGCTGTAAGTCTACGGGTGCCATTTCCATTTATTGTTAATCTGTTTGGAGCATACAAAAAAAAAAGAAAAAACATGGCTCTCCTTGGCACCCAAAGCCTGGCTCACCCATTGCTGGCCTGCGGCTGCACTGATAATACAAATAGAACACTTCAGTATCGTCACATCGTCCATCCACAGGCAGCATATTAGTTATAAATATAAAAATACATTTTACCTCTTTGTCAGTCAGTAATTCAATATTGATCATCTTCGTCTGTATAGGAACCAGAGTAATGGGCTCGAAGGTCAGACTCCCCCGATTCTTAAAGTCATACTACAGCGGAAAAAAAATAAACAGTTCTTTTACTGCGAGTTTTCTGTGGGAACGATTAGCATTTTGCTTGCCTGACAATATGAGCTGCAGCTGTTAAAACACACTACTACCCAGGGATTTGTGGTTTGCTACATTAAAAAGGTAAAACACAAATTGTTTTAAAAGGCTTTTACCCTAAGGAAACGCATAACAAGCATTAAACAGTAAATTCTCAGTGAATTAAGGATCTGACGATTGCATTAGTATTTTGTTAAGCTTAACGATTACTGATTCACATATAAACTCTCCAGGGAGTTCCCTTACGGAGATAGGCTCTGTCTGAAAAAGAACGGTTTGGGAAGTTAAATGTAGATTACGAGAATTTCCAAAAGAAGAATATTTTACATATGTGAGGGTGACAAGCTGACCTCAGATAGTTTATGAATTCATCTTTTTAGCAGCGGTTCCCAAACTGTGTGCCTCGGCACCCTGGGGCGCCATGACAGGCACACAGAGGAGCCGCAAGATATTTTCCCGTTGCTATCATCATGTGCCTCCATCTCCCCTGCCAGCTCTGCAGGACCAGAGGGGAGATCAGAGATCTCTCACTCCGGCCCGCTAGCACTGTAATGCTGGCAGCCAGCAGGGGAGGAAGGGAGAGAGGACCAGGGTGAGCTCTAACCTGCAGCGCCGCCGTGTTCTCCTCTTGTGAGCTCGGAGCGTTGCCACGGTTACCACGGCAACACTCCTAATCTCACAAGAGTGAACTCTATCAGGCTGCTAGAGTTCACTCTTACCACTGGGACCACCAGGGTTCTCCACCGGACCACCAGGGATTGCAGGAAATGTCCCTCCTCCCAGGCAAAGGTAAGCAGGAAGGGGGGATATTAATAATAATTATTTGAATATTTTTTTTAATTTAAAATAAAATAAAAACTATTAATTAAAATAAAAGTATATATTTATCTGCCATCCTATCCCCACAATTGCCCCATACACACACACACATTACCCTCCATATACACAAACTGTACCCATCACACAACCTGTCCCCCCACACACTGTACCCCTCATGCACAAACTGCCTCACACACACTACATCCTTCACAAACACAATGCACCCCTGTAGACTCACTGCACCACACACTGCACCCCTTATACACATGCACACTGAACCTCATTGCAACTCTCAGACACACTACTGCACCTATCCCGGCAGATCCCAGGTAAGTTGTCAAAATGTTCTTAAACAATTCGGCTACTTACTCTGGGAGGGCACAATGGCACTACTGGCACCATAACCACTACAAAGTGCTGTAGTGATTATTGTGCCTGTATTGTTTCTTTAAATAATCTACCAATGCCCCTGCAGAGCTTAAGTTCTGTTTCTGCGCTTGAACGGCAAGCATTTCTGCCAAACAGGTGCCCAGTATATGTCGCTGCGCTGTACATATATACAACCTAGGAAATTATTTTAACTTGCGGCGCCTTGGAAAAGTATTGAAATACTAAGGGCGCATTGAACCTAGAAAGTTTGGGAACCGCTGCTTTATAGTTCGCTAAGGAAATCTGGCTGTATAGGTTTAAATTTACACTCAGTTAACGATGGTGTTCTGATCAGGGTTCTGTGATGTGTACACATCAAAAAACCTCCCAGAAGGCCGCGCAATGCAACCAACAGCACTTTGCCTGCAAATGTGGGATTCCTTGTTTGCCAAGGTGGAGTCAAACAGAAGTTATTATTATATATTTTATTTATAACGAGCGCAGGAAGAAGATAAAACAGTCCGCCGGTTCCCATCTTATACTAGCAGCGCAGCTTTCAAGGAAATCTTATCACCACTTACTGCATCTCACCTGGCAGAGTACTTAGCATTGTGTATAACACACATTTAAAGTTATACGGACTTATTGGCCTCAAAGTGGCTGCAAGATACAGTTCTTTCACTAAAGGTCGTTTTGATTAAAATAAAGAGAACGATTAGATGGATAAGCCAAGTAAGAAACACAGTGTTAATCTTTCAGAAGCTTTGGCTTCCCCACGACAGATATTTTCTTTTGTTTCCTTACTCCTTTGTTGTCGTCCTAAAGTTATATCACCTTTGTTGAACAAATCCGGCATTTTATTTAAGAAAATTTATTTGTAAAACAATGCAGAAAATTGATAGATGTGCTTTTTGCTCTTTTATGATGAATTGCTAATTGTTTTCATAATATGTACCTACTCTGAACATAATAGAGAATTAAAAATATATATATATAGAATGTCACTGTGAGTCTAGTACATGCACCTTGGTTTTAGCAGAAATCACAAGGACCAGGTTCTCAATCCTTACACCAAAAGAGCCATCTTCATAATAACCCGGTTCTGCAAATGGATAACGTGTATTAATATTTCTGCAAACAGATAACTAGAAAATCAGTCAATATACATTAAAGTGAGTCAGTGGGAGAAATGGAAAGGGGGGGAGGAATGGAGATCGACCCGTAAGGCGATGATGACATACCATCAGAAAGAATCATCCCTGCTTCCAGGGGCTCGTCTGCGAAGGTTTTGTAGCTGATGCCGCAGGGCCCTTCATGGACATTTAGAAAAGATCCCACACCGTGGCCAGTTCCGTGCAAGTAATCCAGACCAACCTCCCATAAAGCCGAACGTGCAAAAGAGTCCAGGAGATGTCCTGCAGGCCACAGTAATATGTCAGGAAGGAGATTTTGTGTGCCAAATTTTCTTCCCAATTTTTCCCAATTGTATTCACAATATGGATTTTTGTTTTTTAGCACACAAATAGGAAAATGGATTTAATGCAGTGACACTTGCAACCCATCCAAACACAAAAGGTTTACCACACATCAGTGGACAACACATAATTAATTGAAACATTAGCAGAACAATAATTGGCAAAATTAATCCAAGAATTTAATGAGTTCCACAGAGACACGTTCAATGCGATATATATTTATGAAGTTAGAGTTGCTTCATCACCATTTAATTAGTTTTTGGATTTAAACTAGTTTAGTGCTAAGAGAGGTACAATGTGTAACATTTCAAACACAAAGTGATAGACAAATTTCTTGCACAGAATTCTGGGCTGCCAATGCCATCTGTTGTTGAGTTTAACTAGCCCCCAGCACACAATTAACAATTAACTCAGTGTGTGCAGTGTTGCAAGCAGAAACACTGCACATACCGACTCCTACCACCATGATCACTTTAAATTACTGAAGTAGTCATGGTGGTTGGAGTAATCTTTTAAGGTCAAAAAAATCCAATTGTAAAAATTCTTTATGTCAGTCATTCAGCTTTTTCTGCCTTAAATTTGACATTCACTTTGATTTCTCACTTTCATTTATAACCCTGATTAATATTTAGATTAAAAAAAAAAAAAAAAACTCATCCCCAATCCTCAGAGAACATGACCCTTTAAAAGGTACTGAGTGTGTGGAAGTTACACTTCCACATTATTAAAGTCAATTTTGTATACATATGCACAGCAAGAACTGGCGTTTCAGCGGACACTCTCAGTTAATCGGGGACATCCAAAATTGGATGAAATTGGCATTGTTAATTCAGATGTAGACGTTATATATTAGCAATACAGCAGGCATATCTATAGCATGCATGGGGTCAAGCTGTGGGTGCCTGGGAAGACCTCAGTTTGTGTCAGACTGCTACAAAAAAAAAAAAAAAGGGGGGAAAAACAATCTATTTGATGTTTTATAACAGTATGCAAAAAAAGTTGGGGGTGTGGGGGGGATTTAAAAAAAAAAAAAAAAGATGCATTTTCCCTTGTGTCACCATAGCAGGCTTCCTTAAGACCAGTAATTGCCCACTGCAGATGTTTGTGAATTGAATTTTCCAAGATGCATAGCCAGCCTTCAGTGGTTATGGTGTATAGATCATGCTTCTGCAGTCTCACTGCTCAATACGCAACCAATTAGGAGTTAAAATTGTTCTGGTTTTGCAGTGCTAGCCACACCTGCTGGGCTGTGACTAGCACTGTGACTTTTTTTTGTTTTAGCTTTCCTTTCTTATCTACTGCTGTTAATTGAGCCTACAACAGCCTCACTTGTCAAAGCATCCAGGGAAGCTGTTACTAGGGCTGCATAAACATTGCAATTTAGCTCCTAAATAACAGAGAAGTGAGCAGTGTGACTGCTAAAGTTGTTTAGGTGCTCAGAGTGTCCATTTGAGGACACAAATATAGTTCAGAAATATGTTCAGTATGAAGGTTAGACATCACTGTTAGACAGACTGCGCACTTGTATGAGCAGCACCCTAACCATCCCACATCCAAAAAAAAAACAAAAAAAAAAAAAAACACATTATAATCTTACCTTTAGTTCCATTGGGAAAGACTGCCGAGCTTACAGCTATGTGTCCTTTTAACACATACGTGAAGCATTCCTGAAAATAAAAATAGGCAAAATCAGTGCCCAGGACATTTCATCAGATTTGGAAAAACTGACCCAAACAAACACCAAGAAAGATACCTTCTCGTAGTCTGTTGGGGAACCGAAATGCACGGTCCTTGTGACATCCGTAGTACCATCCCTAGCAGAAACAAGACCACAAGAAGCAAAAATATTTACACTTTAAAAAAGCAGGGTTAGGCAACTATTGGCACTGTAGATGCGGACTACATCTCCCATGATGCATGGCCAGCATTATACAAACAATATCTGGACACTACTCCAGACAACAGGGCGCCACAACCACTATAAATATATGTAAAAATCACATGGAATAAGAAATATAAGGTGGAAGGACAAAGTCCACTTTATTATATATAAAAGTGCAATGAATAGTGCAACAATGAATAGTGCAAAATAAAAAAACAAAATAGAATAAAATATATGCAAGAGCCCCTAGGGGTAGCAGCTGTATATACAATGACTCCAACAGTAAAGTGCTTAAGTGCAAAAGTGCAAGATGCAAATATCACTCACATACACCAAAAAATATCACCAAATAAATACTGCAACATAGAGTACATGTAAACTAAAAACTGTTATACCAAATATGAGGCTCTTGTAGATGCTCAACGCGTTTCGTCGATGTCGACTTCCTCAACAAAACGCATTGTTGCACTATTCATTGCACTTTTATATATAATAAAGTGGACTTTGTCCTTCCACCTTATATTTCTTATTCCTTGTGATTTTTACATATATTTATAGTGGTTGTGGCGCCCTGTTGTCTGGAGTAGTGTCCAGATATTGTTTGTATTTTATGTAAAGGTTGGGAGTGACCTTATGACAGTGGCTTGCCTACACTAGATTTGTGACCTATTATTACTTTCACCATCCACCCACTTGTTTTTTGTTGTAATGGCCAGCATTATGCCTGTAACAGCATCATGGGAGATGTAGTTCACAACATCTGGAGTGCCAAAAGTTGCCTACCTCTGACTTGAAGGGACAGTAAATTCTTCATAATGGAATAGAGATAGATACATGTTAATGTTATGGGACAGGCCGGTTATGTATTTTACTCCTGCAGAAATTTTACTTCTACATAAAGGGGTCAATTACATCCAGTGAAATTAAATCTATAATTAAGTCAGTAGGTCACATGCAGGACAGATGTGTATGTATGTTCTTGGAAGGCAATCATATTTGTTTTTACCTCTACAACATAGGAACAATGGCTAAAGACAAAATAGGTAAAATAAATGCACATGTAACAGATTTTCTTTAGCCGTTTGTGAAGGCAACTTTAACCATCTGGCAAAGAATCGCCTCAAAGTCTGGACTCTCCTCCTCCTTCCCCTTCCCTCTTTATCCTCTGACGAATAACCCTGCTTTTACCCCAGGCCTAGAGTCACGGGCGTTTGTGTGCCTACTTCCGCTATCACACATGCAGGCCCGACATTTACAAAAAGGGGACCTCTTGGGGAATTATTGGGCGACACACGTGAAACATTTCTGCATAGACTGAAGTTTGAACAACTTAAGCAGTTCCTGACCTCAGTATCCTAAAAACCTGACTTACACAGGATTTTGACCCCTTTCGAGAAATTAGGAGACGACCCCTCCTATATGCAATAACTTGCCTATACCCTTGCCTGCTCTTACAGAATAGAAACCTTCCTTTGCCCTCATTCATGGTAAAATGTGAGGTTGCAGTTGGGGAGACTTTTACTGACTAACAATGGGGCAGGATTTGTGACCTGGTTCATTACTGTACACTAACTGACGAATGTTGGAGGTGCCATACCAGCCCAGGCTTGTTCCTACATCTCTGGTGGGACTGGCCCAAGATAAAACCATGCTGGTACGTGATCCAAGAGGTTCTATCAAGGTTCTCTGATAACTCTCTCCCTTTCTGCCAGCTCCTTATCTCTTACATCACACTACTACACCCACTGCCAGGTACAAGAAGTTCTTGACTGTAATGATCTTGAACACAGCATAACAAGTACTGTCCCTGTTCTGGAAAAGAGACAAGTGCCCACCTTTGACAGTCTGGTTTGATAAAATAGAAGATTTACATAGACTAGAGGGCCTGACTGGCCCAGGACCGCTCTCAGACCTCCATGGATATATGGACACACTGGTTAACTGTAGTCTACCAAGCAGGCTTTTAGAGACTGTTGGATTACAGAGATCTTTGGAGTTTTCAGGGGGAAACCTGAGGGCGTACAGGCCTAAGGGAGATCTTGGGTCATCGGTCGGGCATATCCGCCCTGATTAAGGGAATTGCAGCTCCCTCACTTGCGTTTACTTGCCACTCTTATTCTAGCAGTCCTGGTTGCGTTGACCATATAGTTCTGGTTAAGAGAGTCGGGTGAACATGACAGTACGGATTGGGGAGATGCAGGAGTTTAGTTAATGACTTATAACTATCCCTTCTACCTGGGATACACAGAATGTTACTTATATGTTTATATGGAACTTTAGGCTGATGTAGAGAGAGAGAGTCTTTGTTTTGAGGCTAACTTACTGTTTTACGTTCTGCACTTTATGTTACTACGTTAGGCTACTGGACCTGCGAGTCCGCACTTAGAATAGGATATTACTTGAATGGCCCTGCGAGGCCACGAAATCTGAAATTACAAAATGTGGTGACCTGCTTTTTGCCGAAGACCTGCATGTCTCATTGACATCGGTTTTCTATGCTTGTGGATTACAATAAAACAGTTTTCAAAAAACAACAATGAAACAGTTTGAATTTTGCATGACACATACACTTCATACACAAGCATCTGAAGCATGAATTCTATTCCTGGAAAATTTGAAATCTTTACAGAGTTCCATTTCTCTATCCTTTGTCAATAAACAAGCCTTTAGAGAGCAAGACTTGAAAGTTTCTGTAGTAAAATATCTCAGATTATATGTATGGTGTGTTTGCCCCATTCAAAGCGTAACAATTTATAATTGGTGCAGGGAAAAGCAATGTGACAAATAAGAGCTATGAGTCTCTGCAGACAGATCGCATGAAAACCAGCCCCCAAAAAAGCACAGGGCAGAGAGAGATTGCTTACTTGTACTGAGCTCCTGAATCAAGAAGAAAAATCTCATTTAACGATAATGTCCTGTTAGTTTCAGGGACGGGCCTATGAAATAAATACATTGCAAGTATTACAAAATTATAAAAATAAAAAATAAAAAAAGGTAGATTAATCCAACCATGTATGTAACATATTTGTCTTACTTGTAATGTATGATTGCGCCATTGGGTCCAGTGCTGGAAATTGTAGCAAAACTGAGCTCTACGAAATCCTTTTGCTGGCTAAAACACAGAATTGCAAACAAAGTTAGGACATTAATCAGAACCATGACAAGATATCCTTTATTTGTTCAAACTGTGTCTGCTGCTGCTCCCCCAAAATGTAATTGTTAAACTATTTTACACCACTGATCAAAATTTTGTAAAAATCATACCATTTGTATTTATAGTTCTCTTTTTAAATGAGGGATATCGGGGAGAGGGGAATATGAGGTAGTGTTGACATGATGTTAGAGTATGCTTGTAACCTAGGTTACTAGAGAGTCCTTCTACTAAACCGCTAAACTCTTCGAAAAAGGAAGCTTACATATTAATCTTTGATCACATATTAAGTCAAGCTTAATTTCTTCTTGAAAAAGATTCAGCACTTCTATTTCCACATTTTCCCTCAAGTTACATATAAAGAAATAACAAAATGGAAATACTTTAATATATTCGTTTTAATAGCTAATTGGGGATAAAGTCAATAATTTAAAGGGAAACTATAGTGCTAGGAATACAAAGTTGTATTCCTAGCACTATAGTCCCCTATAATGCCCCCCCCCTTACTCTTGGTCCCACCTCCCTCATAATGATGAAAGAGTGCCACTTTTCTGAATCCACCAACGATGTCCATCAGTGCTGCGTCAGGCTACTCCTCCGCCATCATTTGGCGAGAGCCAATGACCAAAAGTCTAACTAGTAGACAGCCACTAGAGATCAAGTTAACCCTGCAATGTAACTATCGCAGATTATAACTAACTGTAATAATTATAATTGCAGAGTTAAACTGACAGGGGCATTGCACCCAGACCACTCCAATCAGCTGCCTATAGTGTCCCTTTCAACAACACTAGATACTCAGAGAGACTAGGAATAGCAGACATAGGAATGTATTTATTATATAAGCACACAATAATTTGGTGATCAGCATAGAAAGAACTTGTTATAAAGCCTTCCTGTGCATAACTAGGAAATATCACCTGCGAAACTCCTCAGCTTTGTCTGACGCCAAGATTTCTGTAACAGAGCCTTTTGGAATCTGATGCGAAAAAAAAAAAAAGGTATTGTTATTGGTTATTGTGCTTGTAGTGTGGCTTTAATAAGGATCCAAAAAAAAAAAAAAAAACCTCAGCACTAACACTAATTAGATATCACTGCGTACCTCGTGCTCCAGCCAATTGAACAGTTCGCAAAGTGCAACAGCGTCTTTTATCTACAAAAGAGAATTATACAGAGAGGGGCATAAACATATGTACAGCAACCTGTGACTGGTACCTAAACTGTCCACTAAACACCCCAGAAAAACACTAAGCATCACAGATGCAAACATTATTGGTATCTTTATATAGCAATACAACTGGTTCCAAGCTGAAAGACATATCACAACTGAGAAACAGCATTTGGAAGTGAAGATTGTTGATATTTTCTTCCTCTTACTTGACCTCAATTTTGTTATGTAAGCAGTTTATTTAACAAATAAGTGACCACAGTATCCCTTTAACCCCTTAAGGACCAAACTTCTGGAATAAAAGGGAATCATGACATGTCACACATGTCATGTGTCCTTAAGGGGTTAACAAAGGTTTACAGAGCTCATGTATCCAGTTGATATGTAAAACTGGCTAACCTGGGATTTTCTTTGAATATATATTTATTTTAGAGTTTAAACTTTGAAGTCCTACACTACTAGCCAGAACTTTACAATTACTGACCACTGCGAGCCACAGGGGTGAATGTCTACTCAATGGCTCATGGCGAGTGGAAATTTTGAACCCTGCTTCTACTATGCACACTGCAATGTTCAGTGGGCACTGATTACAAACAGGACATTTTCTTTAACTCATGATGTGCCTGAGGTATACGTGAAGCAGTACACTAATTAGCATGGGGTAATTGTACAGACATCTGCAAAGAAACATTATAGGATTTTCAGACTACATCAGCAGCAATTCTAAAAGTGCTGGTCAGTAGCTTTTTAAGGGAACCTGTCGCAGAAATTTAAACCGTTGAATAACACAATGGAGAAATAGAAACATTGTTAAATGCTAATTGCCAGGTGCAAAAAAAAGTTTCCCTATGCTAACTGCCAGGTGCAAAAAACTGTTTATAACAATGATTTACAGAGAGCTAATAACATTCAGGCTACCTACGGGAGCCATATTATTTGGATCTCAGACCAGTAGTAGGGGTAATGAGAGAACTGCATTGTGTGTCGACTCAGCACTGCATTTATCACCAGAAAATCCCAGGGGGAGATTCAGAGACAGGAGGCTTGTGGCTCTTAAATAAAATGTTTACATATATAAAAATAAAAATATGTTTCAAAATCAGACCAGCCTACAAATAGGGCCTGAGAGAAGGGCATTGCTTTATGTAACCAGACATGTGGATAGCTAGATCTGCTGCAGGTAAATTACTAAATCTAACCCATACCTTATGTAAGTGGATTCACCAGTGAGCACAGTCCTCCAGCCACCATGCTCACACATAGCGGGATATACTAAAACGTTAAATTAAAAAGATAGTTGTTTCTGCACATTTGAAAAATGTTGCTTACATGGTAAATTTAAATTACATTTTTGTTGTAAAGTGTGCCAGTGTGCCATCACACCGTGCTACAGTGAGCAAGCAATAATCAGAAAGTATTAAAACACTGTACACCACAAATCACACAGAAATTATTAGTAAGGAAAATCCAATGAGCAACTGTGAAAAGCAAATGGCTAAAATTATTCCTGATTCCCCATCCGTGAGACAGCTGTACTTACGTGTGCCCGCCTCATGCCCTCAATTTCAGAAGCATTCTTCACTGCCTTTGCCAGGCAAACTGGCATACACTGCGAGAGGTATCTGTGATTCTGGGAATAAAAGAGTGCATCCTTTAGAGGGTACAGAAAACCTATTTAGCATAAATTAATTAGCAGCAAACTTTCAGCGTGAGAGCCAAGTACTGCCACTAATTAGGCTCCGACACAATGTAGCTAGAAGCAGTCTCTGTCCATCATACCTTGGGAATGGCTTCTGTCAGAGCATAGCTGGCCTTGTCACTGATCCACACTTTCTCCTTGGGGCCCAGTCCAGCACAGATGCTCTGGAGTGCAGGAAGTACAGACTCATAAGGTTCCAGCTGGACTCGAAATGCGTCTGGGTGAGATGAGTCAAGAAGGAGGTGCTCCCTTACCACAGGGTCAGCCAGACGGTCACCATTGATAAATAACCTGCCAGGAAAGGCGCCAGGGCAGAGAATTAACAGAATTTAATAAGCTGCGTGGGTTACTAAACAGCACAAACTATGAAATGAGATTAATAATTAGCAATAGTGTCAATAAGGATAGTAACTCCTATAGAATTGGAAAAGGCTCAAACCAACACACTTCCCATAGAAAACCATGGATCGACAGGAAAGACAACACATACTTTAATGGAAAGAGTAGTTAAATATCTTCAAAATATTTCTCCTTTAGACCCCTCACATTGAGGCAGCCGTAGAAAACAACATTTTATTCAGCTATCACATGCAATTTATGTCATAATACATTGCTATAGACAGTAGAGGTAAGAGAAGACGGCACCATCTTCCGTAATACTGTAATATATTGTAATGGGGGGTCTAGGTGGAAACTGATTATTGGTTCTGCAGAGAGGGCACTAAAACACTAAGTGTTATTTACTTTTTATAATTAAACTTTTTAATTGATTTTTTTGACACTGTATGATTGCACTGTAAGGAGCACAGATTAAGGGTATGCATATTAAGGCTCCAGTAATGCGGTTAATAAAACCATTTTTTGAGACGCATGTGTTTAACCCTGAGGATTTTCATTCTCACCTTATGGTATTTGTGCCGATGATGGCATAAGCAAAGAACACAGGATTGTACTCCACGTCTGACCCCCTTAGGTTAAAAAGCCCTGAAGTGAGGAAAGAGTCAGATTAAAAAAGGTATAGAGAACAAATGTACTTGATATAAAAGATGCTGTTCTCTCCATTCTTCCCACCACACCTTCACATATAAAGCCCAGGATATATTACGCCTTATGATTCCTGAGAATTAGACAAATATAAACACATTTACTAAACCTATCCCTAATACTCTGCCACAGGTGTGACTCTATAAATGGCACTAGATTATATAAAGACATTAGTTATTGAACTAATCATAGAATTAGCCAAAGTTTGCAGTTACTGGTAATATCTGCATGGACATAAAATTGGGATAAACAAAAAAAAAAATGAAATGGATGAAATAGAAACCCAACTCTAAGTAATAAAATAGGGGTGTCTATATAAAAGGGAATAAAATCTACCAATGGGTAAACCTACCAGAGGAAGTCCTACTCGGAGCAAGCATGAGGGCTTCTAAGATCTCAAAATGTAGTAGTAGAGGCTTCTGAACTACATGTCCTAACTCTAAACTACCCACTGTTCTCATTCCATTTAACCCCTCACCTGCCATGGGGTTCCACCCTAAATTCACAGCTCATTGGATGGGGGGAGGCTGGCAGCATCGCCCGGCAGCATTAGTTTGGATTCAAATGCCCAAATGAAGATTATGTGGGTTTTAATCGGATTATAAACTATAGCTGTCAAATTACTCTAATATGTTGATGGTGATCTGTTACAGTATTGTGCATACATTAGGAAGAATTTTGGGACATTACTATTTTTATAACTATTGGGAAGCTCCACGGCACACAATTCAGATTTTTGCACTTGTTCATACTAATTATATTTTATTTAAATCAATATGGATTACAGAGGTAAAAGATATTAACCATATCCTGTCCTGCACTACCCTTAGTAGGGTATAATTTGCAGCTTCCTGGATAACTGGCTCCCATAGTTTCCCACATGGTATTCCAAAGCGTCTTGTGCATCACTTTGTTAACAATCAGCTTACACTGTTACATTAAGAGTTTTTTTTTTGTTTGTTTGTTTTTTAAACGGAGCTAGATTGCTGGTCCTCCTTGAATTTAATAACGTTACTCACAAGCAACTTCGTCTAACGCAGTCAGGACAATCCAAGAGGCTTTCCTCTCTGCCATGCGGGTCCTGAGGGTTTCTATCTTTTCTTTCCACAAAATTCCTGTAACAGTAAGATCACAATCCCATATGGTTACACATTCATCTTGATCACCGTTACTATGTAACAGCAGTGACACAACAGCAACTTGTAACAACCAGCAAGGATTACACACCAATATATATTTATATTAGTTCCCAACAGAAAATGAGCTGCTACATAGTTCATTGCATTTCGGTAGTTTATGATTAAAGATAATGGCAGCACCACAAGTGCACGCGAATGCATTCCGTTTCCTTCTTGACCTTCCATACATTGCATGTCTATTCGCAGAGCTATTCCTATATAGTGCTACGGGACAATAATAATTGACCAAAACTGTCGCTTCCTTGCTGATGCCAAGATGATTAGCTAATGGGATATAGCTTGGGAAGGAATATGTTTAGAGAGAGCATGTTTGTTGCATTTTCATTTCATTGGCATAATACATTTAAAATTAGAGAGAGGGCAACTCTGGACTGAAGTGAAAGTTAAAGAAGAAGTTCTTTAGTGGTTAACACTGTGTTCCATAAGTGTTGATTTCAAAATAAATCTACGCTTTTACAATACCCCTTAGTAACACCTCTCAGCTGCCAACCAGAGTAAGCGGAAGCAGGAGAGAAGCATTGGTTTTGATGTTTCTCTATGAGCAGATTGTGCCAGCTGCCATGCAAATGCCATGTTTCAATGCTTCTCTATTAGACTGCCAGAAGATCATCACCAGTGATAGTGGCCCTAGAGCTGAGTTCTAATTGCAGCGAGAAGACTAATGCTGCTGGATTAGAGGTAAGCAGTTTTTTTACACCGTGGAAAGGCTCTAAATCTAAAATAAAAAATTCAAATGTTAGAAATAAATTTATTGTTTAAATGGAACAAATATTAATAAAAGTAATATTTCTCCTAAATATTAGGATAATGAATAAAAGTAATAATACTGTGTGCATTTCTAAAAAATAATTAACACATGACCAATAAATACTCTTCTAAACCCCTTTTCTATTAGTTTATTAATTTGTCACATTAATTCTATATATGTGGTGTGTTTAGCAATGAACTTGGGCTTGGCATAGCCATATGAAAAATATGGTTTAAAAAGAACATGTGGGATGGGTATAGAGCATGGGTTCCCAACCTAGTCCTCAAGTACCCCCTACCAGTCCAGGATTTAGGTATAAGCCAGTTGTGTTTATGGTGTTTTTAGAAAGAAAAAAATTTATAAAACACTTTAGACACAACAGGGTAATTCCTAAAACCTGGACTGGTAGGGGGTCTTGAGGACTGGGTTGGAAACCCCTGATATAGAGAAAGAAGATGGTATGGTCCCAGCTCCTGTAAGGTGAAATGAGGTGAAATGGTCACAAGAGTTTAACAAAAATAATTATATATAGATGTATAGAGAGAGGTATTGACAGATATAAATCACAAGGAGAAGCAGGCGCGCGCGCACACACACGAAAATAAACGCCAACATAAATACTTCTAAATAAATAGATATCCATCCTCAGTCTATCCTGTATCAATATCACTATCATTTCTTAATGAGAATTCCACATGGGAAAATACAATGAAAAAGACACACTGTCATGATTATTTTTTAAAATTTAGATTTTAAAGTGAATTCACAGTGACTTTAAGGCTGAATATTTTAAAGCCAAAGTAGCTGACCAGGAAGCGTAGCTGAATTAGAGAATTTTTCCAGTTTGGCTAGTTTGATCTTGCATTTGAAATTCAATTTAAAGTCTTACTTTAGTGAATAACTTTCTGTCGGGTTAATTCTCACCAAAACAAACAGTTTTCTGTGGTTTCAACAGAGCCGGGGTCCTCGATGCTAGCGGATGTACTGGTTATGTGTGAACAGATAACTAGCACATCTCTTGCTGCCAACATTCAACACGGAATGTCTATGTGGCAAAGCCACGAGTAGCACTAAATGATGCAATCCTTATAACCTGCACCCAGAAACCCATTTCCATCTGTGGCAGCAAGCATGGCAAGAGATCACACGCCAATTTAAAGTGAACAGATTTAGAGCTGTGTAAATCCTAGATGACACAAACCTGTGTACTTCAGTCCCAGAGTGATCAAGGGTTGGCACGGTCTTGGTGGTCGGTCTGCCCAGATGGCATCGATCAGGTTTTCTTCTACAGGAACCATAGAATGACCAGCAGTCTTTAGAGCAAGAAACATACTCTTCCACTGATCTGTAAATTATAAGCAGGTCCATTATATCAGTGCGGCTTGACGACCACCTCATATTAACCAGGGTTATTCCATAATGTGATGTAAAGGACCTGTGACAGCAGCTTGATATACCTGTTTGGATGATAAATGGATCAACACCAACTCGCGAGCCTTCCGGGAGCACATTTACCAGCCAGTCCTCCTGCGTTGGAGTGTCTTTCAGCCCTGTAAGTAATAAAATGTAAAATATATAAACACAGACCATGTGATGGGCAATCTGACAGGACAGTACACATATCAGGAGACTTTAGAGGACTCTTTGGCAGAGAGAGAGTCGATATCCTTAGAACAACAATTTATCATTGTTCCATTACCCTAACACTTTCACCTACACATTTGAGTAAGGTAACATAGTCCTGGATAGCTCAGCTGGTTAATGCATCAACCGCATTACATGTTCAAAGTTTCCAGCGGGAAATGCATTTGTGGTTCAGAAAATAAATATAATTAAGTTGGTTAACAATATTCATCAGCTGTTCATTCAATTAGATTTAGCTTCACAGCCCTGGATTTTTACATTGTTATGTAGCCAGAAGATAAACATCATACAAAACAACGTGATAAAATGTCAATTTTATTCTGCAATAGAGAATGAATTGCAAGAACAGGTCAGCCTCATTAACTAATTACACTAACATTAATTATACATTATTAAGTAGCTGAAAAGAGACATGCGTCCAGCAAGTTCAGCCTCTCTTATTTTTGCTGCTGATTCAGCAGTTTAAATTGCTTATAAATTCACAACAAACTTGGAAAGAATTCCTTCTTAAACCCCGAAATGGCAGTCAGATATCTCCTTGGATCAAGAAGCTATTTACTAAACACCCTGCAAGAGTGCACCATTATATGCTGGTCTGGCTGTTTGAAGTGGTAAATCACTGCCTCGGAACCGGGAAACCCAGGTTCGAAATACAGTCCGACCTCACCAGTAAGTGTCCTTGGGCAAGACACCTAACAATATAACTCCACTTACCTCAAATCTTCGTTTGAGCAGGCGTTCTTCTCTTCTAAATGTCCCCTCTATATAATTGTAAAGTTTTGCTGAATATGTTTGCACTAAATAAATACTAATTATAATAATATGCCAACCTGGTGTATATGTGTGCAGCAAGAGCATATCAATAAAAAGTGTACACATGACAGGAGGAGAATGCACACAGTGATAAAAGGGACACTATAGTCAACAGAACAACGACAGCTTAGTGTATTTGTTCTGGTGAGTATAATCATTGCCTTCAGGCTTTTTCATACATAGAAAAGGCAGTGTTTACATTGCCCCCTAGGGACACTCCCAATGGCCACTGGAGGTGCTCCCTGGGTCAGTGCTGCAAAGTAGGCAGCACTGCCGTTCAGCATCTCTAAGCTCTGCATGCAGACTCTGAATTTTCTTCATAGAGATGCATTGATTCAGTTTGTGTTCCTGACTCTATAATGTTCCTTTAAGAAAGGATCGCTATAGGGTCAGGAACACAAACATGTATTCCTGACCCTATAGTGTTAAAACCACCCTCTAGCCCCCCTGGGCCCCTCATGCCTCCATAAATCTAGTAAAAAAATCTTACTGTATTCAAGCCAGAAGCTTTAACTCTGCATGCTGTTTGCCTAAAGAAGTGGTAGCTTGATCCAATCACAATGCTTCCCCATAGGATTGGCTGAGACTGACAAAGATGAAGAACAGAGGCAGAGCCAGCATGATTCAAACACAGCCCTCGCATCTCCTCATAGAGATGAATTGAATCAATGAATATCTATAAGGAAAAGTTCAGTGTCTGCATTCAGAGGGAGGAGATACTGAATGTTTGGGTGGATTTTAGGCAGCCATGACCCAGGAAGGATCTCTAACAGCCATCTGAGGAGTGGCCAGTGAAGTTATCACTAGGCTGTAATGTAAACACTGCCTTTTCTCTAAAAAGACAGTGTTTACAGCAAAAAGCCTGAAGGTAATGATTCTACTCACCAGAACAAATGCAATAAGCTGTAGTTGTTCTGGTGACTATAATGTCCCTTTAAATTTTTTCCTACGTAACTCTTTTGGTCCTGAAATAATGATCACTATCTAGATCCCATGTGACTTCGCGGTAATCTTTAGATGTACTGGTGATTGTGTTCTGAATTTACATAACTTTACTCAAGCAAGTAATTCTTCTAATTTGTGTAAGTCAGTGAAATGGTGTATATTTATCAATACTTGCCACGACACCTTAAAACCTGGATTATAGAGGTAGGTTACTTTGCAAAGACTTTAGAAGTGACATGTTAACACACACACCAGGGCAGCTAGACTAAGCGCCATCTCACCCATCTTCATGAGCGTCCAATTACTATCAATTTGCTGCGCAGCCTGCAGAAAGTAGCGTCCATCCGTCCAAAGCGCTGCGTTCTGCTCAGTGATGATGGCGGTCCCTGTTTGCAAATAAATAAGAAATCACAATTCCATTCCACCTAATTGATAAGAAACAAACAGGAGGGTTCACTCTGAGCTGTTCATGAGCCCTGATTGAGCATCCATGTGCGGTTAGATTTTGGCCATAGAATGGGTTTTAAAAATACACGGGGTTTAAAAATACATTTCAAAAATGGATTATAGAGGACAACTGAAAATGATGATTCTCCTCCTGATCAACCACCTATATCTCCCTTTTACTGAAATCAAAATAACTTCCGAAAAAATATATATTGCAATATGGCACAAACAGGGCTTCAGATTTGAATATATAAATTATACATGACATCTGTACATGGACCTAGCTCATAGAGCATTGAAATTAGAGCATTAACTTTTAGGTCATAATAACAGAGTTGAAAATGGTTTTTAGCTTGTGCACTAACCTTGTTAATTCCCATACCAATTAATATAATTTCAAAAAGAAATTCTCAAACTGGACTCAGGTCATTCACTTACCTGCTGAACCATCGAACCCGGATATGAACGCACGCCTGCAGTCACACGGAGCAATGTACTCACTCTGCAGAGAGGAAAATAGAACAACATTTTTACTTTTTTTTTTTTTTTTATTGTTTATATTTCTCAGTTAAAATAAAATAGATGTATAGTTCGTTTGTTTGTTTGTTTTTACCTTACAGAAAAAAGGTAACTTTTTAAAATCTTCATTCTTGAGATTTTTGTTTATGATCACAATAATACTTTTCTATTACATTCCAAAGCAATGATTTAACTAGCACGGATATTATCCTTTCAGTAAATGTACACAGGCAGGTCACCCTTCACCCCTTATACTATTAATTATCTCTGCCATCACATACAAATTCCTCAGCAACCTCTTGTCTCGTCTACCCGTTTTAACCTTTAGATTGTAAGCTCATGGGCAGGATCCTCTGCCTGTTGAATCGGTCTGTTCTTATTGTGTTTGTCTTTTTCCCAAAAGCTGCTGAATATGTTGGCACTTTATAAATGCCAATAATAAATAAACAAACAAGACTGGATAAGGAATAGTCTGGTCACACCGCCAATTACTGTGAGAGGTCTCTTCTATGAACTCTACTGTGAACTCATAAGAAATTGGCACAATTTGTTGTGGTCAGTTTCATATTTTTCACAAAGACAATACAAAATTTAAAGTTACATCTTTATTCATAGCTCCACATAAAAAAAATGGGGGGACCTGGAATAGATGTTAGGGGGTTAGCTTTAAGAACCAGGGGTTCCTAGGTAAATTCCTACATAACAAAAAGAGAAGTCCTGCGCTCACTCCCATCACTACTGGGCCGGCAGCAATGACTACAGTACACATCAGCCCCAATATATAGTAAAAACCAAAGAAAAGAAAAAGTTACCTGCGCTCTCTCCTTAATCCCTCTGTATATTTAGACAAATGGAGGTCATTTAGTTGCTCCAATGGCCATTGGAGGGAATACCCGCCTGCCAACATCAAGGCAGACCCCCCTAAGTGGGTCCTAACACTGACCCTTCAGCCTCCTTCCTTGAGCTTCTGGCAAAGATATCTCTAATGAGACTGAGAGGGGTATTTTTTATATACACCCCTATATACTTCCTACATAACACGCATGTAAATCCCTACATAGCAAGCATGTCACTGGTCTGTAAGAGGTTAAAAAACCTGAATTTTTATTTTTGTACTGATGATCTGTAGTCAACTTTGCCAGTATTAAATAATTTTTTTTCCAGATTAATATAGAGCAACTAGTGGCTCTACTACATATAACCAAAATGTTATTTGTCCTAAAAGGTGAGGTTCCTAACACTAACCTAACACTGTCGTGCCCTTGCCCATAGATTAGAGGAACCCCAAAACTGCAATAAAATCTAATTCAATCAAATGCTTCTCAAAAGGAAAGCACTGAAGACAGCCGCTACAGGTGTGTTTAACACTGCAATGTTTTTACATTAGAGGATTAAAAACCACATGGCCACTGCACCGAGACTATTTAATTGAGACAAAGTAGTATGGGTTCATTTAATGAGAGATTACTGAATTAAAAGTTCACACTAATAATGCGAAAAATATGTATGTTTAAAACGCTATTATTTTTATTCTGTGCTGGGTAACGTTTGAGAGATTTGAGATACCTGATGAGCATCCCCAGATGGAACAATGTATGCCTGGATTGGCTCGGAGAGGCTTCTGGGAGATCGCATTGTCTGCCGCAGTTGGCGTAGAAGCTCTGTGGTTACTTTTGGTGCCATTTTTAATGCCTAAAGAAAATTATAGTTCCATGTTTTATAAACGTACAAAAGTTCTTCCATTGTCTACATTAATTTATGAAAACAAAGACATCAAATTATCAAGACAATACGTTTGAAAACAAAGCAGCTTCAATACATAATGTTCCACAGTAACTAAACGATAACCAGCTGTGATCATAAAGTAACGCTGGAGTGACGTTGGATAGTTTGATAAATATACCATAAATCACAGCTGTGGCTTTAAGTGATTTTGTAACACGCAGATTTTACATGTTGTGGCTCTGAAATCAGTAAGCTGGAAGAAGGTGGTTCGCACCTTCCTTATCACAAAAAGACATCTCACTTTTAAGGTCTCCCATTCATCAATTATGGGGTGAAGCAATAAGCAAAAAGTGTCACTGCTTACCATGAGAACATGGGTAAGGATTCAATGCTTTGCTTGAACTCCAGGGAAGGGGAAGGTCAATGCCTGAATTGCATGGGGAAGGAAGTTAATTACTGGCATGGAAAGTGATGTGGAGATATACTGCCTGGCATGGGCTCTGGGGAGAGAAGTTTAGTGCCTGCAATAGACAACGTAGAAAGGGAGTCATGTTTGGAATGGTCACTGGGTGGGGGGAAGTTGCGCGTTGCATTTGCTGCCCCGGTTTGGAACTGGTAGGGGAAGTATTCTAGGCACAGGCACTGCTTAGTATTGGCACTAGGGTAGGGGGAGGTGATGTCACTACCTGCCTGGCATGGGAGTTATTCTAGATTGGAGTAGTATAACTGCCTGGCATGGGCACTTCCTAGCATGGGAACTAGTCTAGATGGGAGTGGTATAACTGCCTGGCATGGGCACTTCCTAGAATGGGAACTAGTCTAGATGGGAGTGGTATAACTGCCTGGCATGGGCACTTCCTAGCATGGGAACTAGTCTAGATTGGAGTGGTATAACTGCCTGGCATGGGCACTTCCTAGCATGGGAACTAGTCTAGATTGGAGTGGTATAACTGCCTGGCATGGGCACTTCCTAGCATGGGAACGGTATAACTGCCTGGCATTAGCACTTTCCAGAATGGGAACTATGCTGGAGGGGTGGAGTATTACTCCCTAGCATTGGTACTAAAGATAATACACAGGAGGTGATCAGCGCTTGTCTGTTTTCTTTACTATCCACTTCACAAGTGTGGAGAGAACCCCTTGTTGGTGATTTGCTGCTAATTATAGATATTGAGCACTTATACTAACCAGTTTTTCCATATCTAGCATTGGTACTAAGCTGGAGTGGTGGAGTATTACTCCTTAGTATTGGTACTAGGCATGAGGGGTGGCCACTTTCCTGGAGGTAAAGGAGGGCATTCTTGGCATCATGAGTACTAAGGTGGGGGGAGGGATGTCACAACCTGCCTTTGTCACGATGGAGGGTGGGAACCTGGCACTGCCTGGCGTGGGCATTATTGTGGAGGGGAAATGAGTCACTGCCCGGCATGAGCACTCAGCTGGAGAGATGTCACTGTCTGACATGGGCACTGGAGAAAAGAGGTGTCACTCACAGACATCGGTACCAGGGCTAAGTGGTGTCACTGCCTGTCATGGGCACTAGAATGGGGGAGGAAAGGTGTCACTGCCTGGCATGGGCACTAGAATGGGAAGGGGGGATGTCACTGCCTGGCACGGGCACTAGAATGGGAAGGGGAGGTGTCACTCTCTGGCAGGGGCACTAGAATGGGAAGGGGAGGTGTCACTGCCTGGAATTGGCACTAGAATTGGGAAAATGTCACTTTTTGGCATGAGTATTATAATGGGGGGGGCAGTTGGAACTTGCAACTGCCCCCCCATTATTAGGTGTAATCACAGGGGGTGAGTGGTAAGGGTTTCTGGGGAGGAGGTGTAATGACAGGGGGTGAGGGGTGTCTGTCTCTGGGGAGGAGGTGTAATGACGGGGGGTCAGTGGAGGTGTAAGTGTTTCTGGGGAGGAGGTGTAATGGCAGGGGGTCAGTGGAGGTGTAAGTGTCTCTGGGGGAGGTGTAATCACAGGGGGTCAGTGGAAGGTGTAATGACAGGGGGTCGGCGGAAGGTGTAATGACAGGGGATTGGGGAGGTGTAATGACAGGGGGTCAGTGGAAGGTTAAGTGTCTCTGGAGGGGAGGTGTAATGACAGGGGGTGAGGGTAAGTGTCTCTGGAGGGGAGGTGTAATGACAGGGGGTGAGGGTAAGTGTCTCTGTCTCTGGGGGGAAAGTGTAATCACAGGGGGTGAGGGTGTAATGACAGGGGGTCAGTGGAGGGTAAGTGTCTCTGGGGGGAAGGTGTAATCACAGGGGGTGAGGGTAAGTGTCTCTGGGGGGAAGGTGTAATCACAGGGGGTGAGGGTAAGTGTCTCTGGGGGGAAGGTGTAATCATAGGGGGTGAGGGTAAGTGTCTCTGGGGGGAGGTGTAATCACAGGGGGTGAGGGTAAGTGTCTCGGGGGGGGAGGTGTAATCACGTGGGGTGAGGGTAAGTGTCTCGGGGGGGTGGAGGGGGTGTCAGGAAGTGGGAGCAGAGCTGCCCCCCAGCAGTCACTGTGTCCCATATTGTTTGGGGGTCCAGTGACTGGGTATTAGCAGGACTCCCAGGTTCAGTTACCCTCCATAGTCCTATCCCCCCCATAGTCCAGTAACCCCCCAGCTCCTCTGTCACCCCCAATTACCATGCGATTCCCCGGCTTCACTGCGGCGCCTCAATAACCCGACTCCGGCGCACACTATTCCGGCTGTAGAGGCATCTGCCGGGAAATGTAGTTCTGAGACCGCTGTATACAAGAATAAAGTGAGCTCAGCCGACTACATGTCCCGTGAGCCTTTGCGAGTTTCCCTTTCTCTATGGCACAAGTAATTAAATTGTAAAATATTTTTTTTTTTGCTAACTATTATTACTTGGAACATTAATGATTTACACTATTGGTGACATTATTGACTTTATACTACTGTTACTAATGTAACCAGTTGCTGGATTACAGCTACAATAATTATATATATATATATATACTGTATATATAAATATGATATAATATAGGATCTTAAAAACAGAGAGCAACAAATCTAATTAAATATGAGCAATAGAAACATTGTTGCTTATAGAGCCAAAATCTAAATTATTATTTTTTTTTAAACAAATTAGATGAAGATAAAAAAAAAAAAAAATCATGATTAAAATTAAATTCCAGAGTTGTGAGTGGACTGTGACTTAATCAGGGTTATTTACTAAAACAAGAATCCAAAGTGAATTTCAAATTTAAGGCCAGAATAGCCGAGTCACTAAGAGAACTTTAATAGTTGGGCTATTTAGACTTTAAATTTGAAATTCACCCTTTAATAAATAACTCTGAATATGTGGAGCGTTACTATTCTGTATGTGGATAAGCTGGACCTACTGAGCAGAGATGTGCTTTCTTATGGGAGTTTAGTCAGGAATCGGGGAGGTTTGACAAGGGAATTGAACATTCGAAGTCAAACAGGTTTATTTACTATAAAACAAAATCCCTTTTCCATATTAACCCCTTAAGGACACATGACGGAAATATTCCGTCATGATTCCCTTTTATACCAGACGTTGTGTCCTTAAGGGGCTATGGGTTAATAAGTATGTAGGGGTTTAAAATAAAAAAAACAGTACCCCTCTCTGCCTCATTACAGATTCTTTTTACCGTAAGCTGAAGCAAGCAAGGTGAATTGTTAGTGTAGGACCCACCTAAGAGGATTCCCTTCACGTGGTAGGTGGGCTTACATCTAATGGCCATTGGAGTGAAACAAAAAACCTAAATTTTGATAGGGGTTCATTTTTTAATTTAAAAATCCTTAAAAAACAGAGCACGCATATGATAACAGTATTATTTTATTTTTTCTAAGATGTAAATCCATCCTGAACATTGTCCAGCCATACCAACCAAGCACGTCTTAAAAAGTGGTGTAATCTGGGGATGGGGCTTGTGAAAGAGCATGTTAGCCACGCACTTTGTGTCACTGGTGTGTCTCCATTTGCGCTCCCTCTTGTCTTAACTTCGCTTTTTGATGATGGTAGGAGTCTGGATGCATAGCGTTATAGCTTGAAACACTGTATAGCTTGAAACACTGCACATCCAGAGTAATTAGCACTTGTGTGCTGGGGGCTAGTTGCACCCCCTGCACATGTGATATTGGCAGCTTAGAACTCTGTTTCAGGCTAAGAATGTCAATGGCCCCCCCTTGCCCTCTTAAATAAGTAGTTTACTTACCTTTATTTCAGCACCACGTAGGCCTGCTGGTACTAGCGCCTATGGGAAAGCATTGTGATTTGCTGAGATTGTCAATTCTGATAATCTCAGCCAAGGAGGTGGGCTGGGGGCAAAGCTAAATGCAGCCCTGGCCAGTCAGCATATCCTAGTAGAGATGCATTGGATCAATGCATCTCTATGGGCAGCATTCAGTGCCTGCCCCAGGAAGCACCTCTAGTGGCCGTCTAAGGAGTGACTACTACATTAAAGGACCACTATAGTGCCAGGAAAACATACTCGGTTTCCTGGCACTATAGTGCCCTGAGGGTGCCCCCACCCTCAGGGACCCCCTCCCGCCTCAGGGGAGAGGAAAGGGGTTAAAACTTACCTTTTTCCAGCGCTGGGCGGGGAGCTCTCCTCCTCCGATCCTCCTCTTCTCCTCCCATTCGGCTGAATGCGCACGCGCGGGCAAGAGCTGCGCGCGCATTCAGCCGGTCTCATAGGAAAGCATTTACAATGCTTTCCTATGGACACTTGCGTGCTCTCACTGATTTTCACAGTGAGAATCACGCAAGCGCCTCTAGCAGCTGTCAATTAGACAGCCACTAGAGGATTTGGAGGATGGATTAACCCATTTACAAACATAGCAGTTTCTCTGAAACTGCTATGTTTATTAAAAAAGGGGTTAATCCTAGAGGGACCTGGCACCCAGACCACTTCATTAAGCTGAAGTGGTCTGGGTGCCTAGAGTGGTCTTTTAAGCTGTAGCTGTTCTGCTGACTATAGTGTCCCTTAAACCTCACTTAATTAGTGGGTTTATTGTGAAGTTATCATCATATCGTGGCCTATGCCATCTTTGTGAAGGGAGGAGCTATGCTGCCAAAGGTCCGCCCACACCTCCCACGCCTCCCCCCCTGTCAGTTCCTCCATTGGCTTCCAGTTAGATATAGGGCTCAACTTAAGATTCTGGCGCTTGTCCCTACATAATGCTGCTCCAACCTACCTATCCTCCCTAATACACAAGTATGTCCCGTTGAGGCCCCTGCGCTCTGCCAAAGACCTGCGTCTATCCTCTGTCCGTTCTCCCACATCTGATGCTCGCCTCTAAGACTTCTCCAGGGCTGCACCTTTTCTATGGCACACCCTTTCCTTCTCTGTTAGACTTTCACCCAGTCTCCACTCCCTCAAAAAATCTTTGAAAACACACTTCTTCAGGAAAGCATATAATTAAAACTGTTAGAGGGTTTTCATTCAGGCCCCTCATGGATAGCATGAAGATGTCCAGCGTTGCCGGAAATCCCTCTAGTGGCTGTCTGGTAGACAGCCACTAGAGGAGGACTTAACCCTGCAAGGTAATTATTGCAGTTTATAGAAGCTTCCATAATAACACTTGCAGGGTTAAGGGTGATGGGAATTGGCACCCAGACCACTTCAATGAGCTCAAGTGGTCTGGATGCCTACAGTGTCCCTTTAATAATTCATGTAGTGAATAAATGGTTTGTATATCTTCTATTCACTTGCTGTTTCACCTTGCCCTGTTCCTTTTAAAATGTTACTTTTATTTAGCATTACTTATAACAGCTGTGTTTAATACAAAGTGAGTGCAATAGTAGTTTTTAGCTTGTCAGTAAAATAATGGCTTAGTACTGCAGGCACAGCGATTGCCTTTTAAACCTGTAATTTCATTGACAGGCTAAATCATTATGTCACTGTGAAGGCTGGTTCCCAGTCAGTTTAACGGAGGTTGCTTTTTTTTGCTCATTTTATCACAGATTTTCAGTGCGATGGGAGTTATTACCCTATTTCCCCAGCTGGTATTTGTGGTCATATTTTGAAGTGTCTTCCTGTGTATTGTCCACAGGAGATTGTTCAGATCCCTCACTAATTCATCATTTGCGATTCTCTCTTTTAGCATCGACCACCAGACTGGATTGAACTAATTTCTTGGTTGATCTTCAGTTTTAAAATGCCGTACACCCGCCTCAGTGCATTTATTTTCTCCCTGTTTAGTCTGTCAATTCTCCATTTTCTATGGGAGAGTTTGGCTGACACCTACTAGCATACATCTGAAAGGTTGCCGTCAGAACTCCAAGTATTACATCAATGGTGCTACGATGTTTCAATAAGAAGAATTAATGGTTAAAGGGATTCTATAGTCCCAGGAAAACAAAGCCATTTTCCTGGCACTATTGGCAGTGCCCCTCTCCCGCGGTGCTGAAGGGGTTAAAACCATAGGCGTGCGCACGGGGTGTGCCGGGTGTGCCTGCGCACACCCTAATCCCCGCGGCACGCCTATGTATATTGAGACCAGCAGGGGAGATCTCAGGATCTCCCCTGTCGGCTCATGCAGAGCCGGCGCTATCCGAGCGTCGGCTCTGCTCTCCGCCTCCCTCCCCACTGACCCACATGCAGAGAGGGAGGCAGGAGAGGACCCGGCGGAGCTATTGCCGGCAGCTCCGCCGGGTTCCTCTTGCGAAATATGAGTGTTGCCATGGCAACGCTCAAATCTCGCGAGAGTGAACTCTAGCCCCACAGGGGCTAGAGTTCACTCTCCACTGGACCACCAGGGATGGAATCAGGAGCACGATCCCCCTCCCTACAAAAGGTAAGAAGGGAGGGGGGATAGCAAGTAATGTACCCCCACAATCACCCACCCACATACAGCACACATACAGCACACACACATACAACACCCACACACATACAGCACCCACAGACATTCACAGCACCCACACACATACAGCACCCACACACTTACAGCACCCACACACATACAGCACCCACAGACATACACAGCACCCACACACATACAGCACTCACAGACATACACAGCACCCATAGACATACACAGCACCCACACACATACAGCACCCACACACATACAGCACCCACAGACATACACAGCACCCACACACATACAGCACCCACACACATACACCACTCACAGACATACACAGCACCCACACACATACACAGCACCCACACACATACAGCACCCACACATACAGCACCCACACACATTCAGCACCCACAGACATACAGCACCCACAGACATACACAGCACCCACACACACATACAGCACCCACAGACATACAGACATACAGCACCCACACATACAGCACCCATACACAGCACCACACATACACACAGCACCCACACACACATACAGCACCCACAGACATACACAGCATCCACAGACATACACAGCACCCACAGACATACAGCACCCACAGACATACACAGAACCCACACCATACAGCACCCACACACACACAGCACCCACACACATACAGCACCCACACAGCACACACACAGCACCCACAGACATACAGCACCCACACACATACACAGCACCCACACACATCAGCACCCACAGACACAGCACCCACATACATTCAGCACCCACAGACATACAGCACCCACACACATACAGCACCCATACACATACAGCACCCATACACAGCACCCACAGACCTACACAGCACCCACACACATACAGCACCCACAGACACAGCACCCACA